CCCCCCCCCCCCCCCCCCGTAAAATTAAAGAAACACTAATTGTAAACTTAACAAACCCTTAATTATCTTAACAATATTGAAATTAAAGACAAGAATTTTATAATGTATAATGTTTTTATAGCTTTTTTTCGCAACACTTGTACAGTATACAATTATTTTATTTCTTTTCTTATCATGTCTGCTGGTATATGCATAATATATTGACATAAACATTGGAATATGTCTGAGGAGAGACTTTCTTTAAGTGATAAAATTGTAAAATGTAATGTAGCACTGATAGTTATATTATGAGTAACATTGTAACCAGTTAAATAGAAGAAAAACAATCTGAAAGTATTCATTCTTAAATAAAATAGGCTCATTCAAAATTAATACATACACTTTTCCACTCATTCTTTCACCTAAAGCAATCCCATTTTTGCAAAGTTTACTCTCAAATTAAATTATAAATAATTTTATATCTAAAATAGGAGATTAGATCAGAAATTAACATATTTTTATCATCTAAATAAATATTGCATGACCACAATTTTATTTTGAGTAAGATATCAAATTTTCTTACAGAAACAAGTTTTAACAGGAATAAAATGCTTGTGGAATCATACAGTATTAAAAAAATGGAAGAAAAAAAACCCACACATAAAATAGTAGTACTTTATCACAGTAAATATTAACAAATGAGCAACAATTTAATGCCCCCCCCCTCCCCCATTTTCTCTTCTATTTAGAAGAAGCTACTCAGATTAACCCTGATGACAACATCATTTTTTATTTTCATGGGGTCAAGGGCAATAGCCAAAACTTATTTTTCCTCAAAACAATGCATGTTTGTCTTTAAATTAAAGTCATGTCTATATAAACCTTATAGTTTTATTATTTGTATTAGTGTTGAGAACATGTTAGTCCCAATCTTCGTCACTATTGGCCGTCTGAGGTGTGCTACTATTTTTTGGTGGTGGTGGTATCATAGAAGATATTTTCTCCATGGCCGATGATGCCCCTCCACTCACAGGTGCAGCAGGTTCTGATTTCTCTCCAGCTTTATTTGTGCCAGAGATCCCTTTCCTTCTCATTGAAATTCTAGAAAACAAATCACTCATGAGGTCTCCACCACCTCCCCCTCCGCTGCTTTTAGCTGTTGCTCCTTGCTCTTTCTCTTCTTGTTTTTTCTTCTTGTTGCTGTGCTTCCTGTCTTTGGCTGATTTAAGACCAGCGCCAGCAGCACCCCCAGCCTTGACGATAGACTCTAATAAACTTTGGCGCCCGGTTGATGGCTGAACAACATCTTTAGGAGCATTTTCGGGAGCTGGCGGTGGAGGTCCTGGGGGAGGCAAAGGTACATCTGGTGGTGGTGGGGGTGGTGGTGGCATACTTGCAGGAGGTGGGGGAGGAGGAGGTGCATCTAAAGGTGGTCCTGTTGTTGGGGGTGGAGGTGGTGGAGCACCTGGTGTTGGTCCCATAGGCAAAGCTTCTTGTTCTGGACCCACGGAAGGAAGTTCAGGCATGTTTGAGCCCATAACTGAAGGGGCAATGGAAGGTCCTTGGTCACCGCTAAATGCAAGATCATCAGCCACACCTAATACATGGTAAAAAAAATTAATTACATTTTTTTTTTGAAACGTTCTGTCTTTATCAGAGACTAGCAGTTACAAAAAAAAAAAAAAAAAAAAATATTCCAGAATTATATATATGTATATGTACATTTTATAAAAGTATTAAAAAAAAAAATTAATTTCATTTTTTTTTGAAACTTTCTGTTTTTAACAAAAACAAAAAATTAAAAAAAAAAAAAAAAAAAAAGAGTAGTATTCCAGAATTATATATATGTATATGTACATTTTATAAAAGTATTAAGATTATGTCTTAAAAATGTAATATTTTCCCCTACTCATTTTTTTATAGCAAATTTTGAAAGAAAATAAAAAAACTCTTACCTGGCAAATTGGGTAAAAGATCTGGTACTGCAATTTCAGGTACAGATCCAAGCTCTGGCATGTATAGGAAATTATCAGCTGTCACTCTGTACATTTCCTCATTGTGGACAATTGTTGATGGTGCCTCTGCCATAGCACCAACTTCCTCTTCAATAGCTGACCTGGTCTTTGTCACCACACCAAGTGGATCCAGGATAACATACTTTTTATATCTGGTTGATAAAAAAAGGTACAGGTTTAATAATTAGAATCAAGATTTAAGAATAGTTAATCATGATAATAAATTTTAAATAAAAATTTCACACTTCCCCAGCGAATCCTTCATCGTGCATGCTGGAGAAAAGGTTTCGGGAAGGTCTTAAAATTGTAGAATCATCCAAATAGACAAATAAGGATGCAGTGAAATTTAAAAACAATCATCATGCAAAAAATGCATAAGAACATCATTATCTTAATGGTAATTATTTTTATTTTTAGGTTTCAAATGAGAAGAACAAGCATAAAAATTAAGAAATTATGCCTAAAAGAAGAGCTTAAACCACACACATTACTGGGGTGTGTCAGTTTTTATTCTTTTAAATTGATAATTTATTATCCAAATTCAAAGGCATTCAAATATTTAAAACCATCTATACATAAATTACAGCAGATAAAGGTCTACAAAGAAATGTTCAGCTTATTTATAAACTTGTTCAGCTGGCAGGACCACTACAATCAGAGCTATAATAAGTGAAATAGCAGTGAGAAAAACTACAATTATTTTATGAAAATTAATATATTTTTGGGAATTATGTACATTTTTATTGAATCTCACTGTAAATTAAGATGCCTTCAAGTTGTGGGTCTATGGTCTCTTGCGATTTAAAGTAAATATTATGAAATCATTTTTATTCCGGGATCAACTTACGGATTTTCAGTTGTATTGAACAGTAGTAATGAACTGACTGATGGAATATTTTTGGGAAGGCCACCCAAGCCTTCACCTTGGTTACTTGGCTCTCTCTTTGCTCTAGTACTAAGGTGTACATTGTAAAACTGGAGTTTCTCTCGTAAGACTCTTTCATCAACAGGTGCATGCTTTTCTTGAACCTGTTTTTAAAAAAAACAAAACAATTTAATTCTCAGATGGGAAATCAATTTTTGAATTGGTTTAAATGGAAAAATTCTTTATCTGTGGAAGTTTCATACACAAAACAAGAAATATTTAAAATAACACCTTAGTAATGTATAAATGTAATAAAAAGTAAAACATCTTTATTAATTAGTTGTTGACTGAATTAGTTATTTTTCATTTATGAATTTTATATGTACCGTACCTTGTAATGAGAACGCTTAATTTCACGGAGTCCATCTGTGTTTGTAAATGATGTTTTGAAAGGTTCTAACTTATCTTCAGCAGGGTACTTGGCACTAGCAAATACTTTTGTTGCTTTGTTACTTCCCTTAAGCTTGTCAACCCTTGCCGAGGCAAGATTGACACGGTCATTGATCTTTTGAAGATGAGTTTTATTTTCTGCTACCCGCTTTCCTATACGGGCAAAAACGTCATTGGCAACCTAAAATATAATTTTGAATGAGTTAAATGCATTGAGAAAAAAAAACGACTCAGAAGGTTAATTTGGAAATTCTTAACAGATTTTAAAAATAACCGTAATAACTGAATAACTATCAGACTCATAAAGATAATAATTAATTTTAAATATTTAATTTTTGAATTATACTGAAGATAAAGCATAGAATATTGTCAATTGGTGTCTTGATATTAGTTGAACAATAACTTTTTAATTTTAAGCGCAAAATACTTTTGGCTTGAAATATTATGAAATGTGATGTCAGAAATTTTTATTTTAAAACTTAAATTAGAAGTAACTGACTAAACACAAAATAGCTTGTATCTTTTGGGATCAACTTTGTACCTTATCCAAATACTCTAGTGCGTCAGCTATTTGGTGAATTGTCTCTTCTCGTCGTAAATCTGGTGGGATTGTTGGGACATTAAAGCCCTGACTGCCCATTATTGTCATCTGTTCCCTTGTAAATAAATTTTAAGATTATGTGATCTAAATCTCTAATTACAACTAATATAAATTTATTTGATCTTTCTAAACACAATTGGTATGCAGGTTGAATAATTTTTTACCCATCTTTAAGTTATCAGAACATATTCATTTTTTAAGATAAATTTTTTTTTTTTAAATGAAGTTTCTTACCGGTAACATAATTATTAATAAATATACATGCCATTTTGAAGGGCACTTAAAAATATAAATTATATCTGCTACAAAAATATTTTCTGCGACCAACAGGGGGGGCTTTTTTAACCGCCATTCGTAAAAAAAAACTAAGTGCTGAATCTATCTATACCTTCAAAGAATTAAAGAGCTTTGAATTGCCTGTATTAGGCTTAAGACCACTAGGTACAAACAGCAATGCATGAACTTCCCATCTACGAAAGTTACTTGACAAAAACGTGAACTCAAGTTACGCACATTTAAGAATAAGAGTGCCAATTTAGCTCCCCCCCCCCTCGCCCCTTCATGATACGTCACTGCACACTTTTTATTTCACGCCCATGAACTATATAAATATAGCCGACCCGTGACTTAGCAGACGCCGCAAGCTTGTTGGTGTGTGCGCATGGCTGGCAAGCGAGGGTGGTGCAGGGGGGGGGGCGGGCGGTAGCTCCGCCGCAGTGCGCATGTCTCGAGACCAACAATGGGCAGGCAAGGGAAGGGAGAGCTGGCCTGCGTCTTGCTTGCTCTGGCGTATCTAAATATAGCCTGCGTGGTCGTCTTTGTCTTGTTGTGCCTTAGTTTCTGGCGAATTATATATATAGATAACTTTACTTATGTTTAGGGCCTATTGAACATTGTGTCTTTGTTGAATCATATTTGTATTTCCCCCGGATTAGGCCTACATCTCAATTAAATACCGGTAATATAATTATAATAGCCATTGTAGTTGTATTCAATGATGGGATCCAAATTATTTAATGCGAGAGTCAATTTTTTATTTTTTAATAAAGGAGTGTAATAAATTTACATTAACAAAATTCTCCAGTGTCCCCAGAGCCAAAAAAAAAGAAGATAATTAGCATTAGGCTTAGGCCATATTCCTTACCCCATACCTAAGCAAAGATATGTAAATCTTAAAAGTTAAAATAAAAAGAAACAGATTGTGTTTGTCCCATACGCACATTATTTTAAAAACAGCCCTGTTGCCTAACAACATGAGCCTTGATAGATGAGGAAACCCCTGAGCTTCTTCTTCTTCTATATCTTAAGGGCCCACAATCAATTTATTGATCATTTTGGCTCCTATGCATGTAGATGGGATTTGCAATGTTTCTGTTCCTGGTGTTGATGGGGAAATTTCACAGATTTCCAGTGCCACTTTGTGAGGGAATCATGCACTAGGGGTTTGAAGGCTTGAGGCAATAGACACACATGTGTCTAGTGTTGTCGCCTCAACCGTTCCTTTTGAAAGATTGTTCCAGTCCCTGATTGTCTTGGGCAGGAATGAGCAGCTCCTATACTGGCTTCTTGCTGGTATGAGTCTGAATTGCCTGTCATGGCCTCGTCGCTGTCTATGGGGGAGAGGGACGAGTTTCTGTTTAATACTGGAACAGTGGACCAGCCCATTATTTATCATGTACATCATGGAGAGCCTGGATTGTCGTAGTCGTTTCTCCAATGGTGACCAGCCTAGTGTTTCCAGTATGCTGCCAACACTAGAGGTATTCCTGTAGCGGCTTAGGACAAAGCGTGCTGCTCGTCGCTGGACCGCCTCCAACCTGTCAATGCTCTTCTGGGTAAATGGGTCCCAGACTGAAGGCAGGATTCACTATTTGCCCATTCCCCACATCCTACTCCCTCTGGAATTTTCACCGTACATTAGTTGTTTGGGAAGTCTGCTGTCTGGCATTCTCGCAACATGCCTTGCCCAACTGGCTTGAGACGTGTTTGCTCCCAGAAACTCTTGCAGAGCCTTCTGAATGCAACATTTGCTTAGGAAATTCAGTTGTTGATTTCATCATCTATTGTAACTGATCTGGAGAAGGTGCTGCCCAAAATGTGAATTTTTCGACTGCTTGGAGAATCTGCTCCTTCACTGATATGTTAGAATCTTCTGAAGCTTTTCCTGGAGGTGAATGGTGCATGGTCTGTTTTTTTCGTATTGATGATGAGGCCGTTGTGGTCACAGGTATTAGCAAAGCGATCAATTATTTGCTGCATTTTTAATTCTGAGCTTACATTTAGTGCGCAGCCATAAGCAAATAACAGGTCTTGAATAACCGTTTCAGTAAATTTAAGTTTGGCGAGCCACTCATTTCCCACAGCCGTCATCTTGGTTGCCATGATGGCAGGTGTAAAAAAAAAAAGTAGTGCAAAATTGTCTGTTAAAATTGGGAGGGTAAATGGAGAGAGAATGTGCTGTTTTAGCTACTTACGGAGAGAAACGAAATTAATAACAAAACATTAAAATTTAATTAAATAAATTTTTTTTATATACCTTCATTCCTAAAATATACTTCTCAAATGTAATTCCCCCTTAACTTTAGTGTAACTTTAAGGGTAAATTTAGTCCCCCTCCTAATTTAACTGTAAATTTTAAAACCTAAAATCTATGACCTAACGCCTAACTTGAACTCTAAAAGTTTGTGTGCTACAGTTTCACACTGTACTGTGCTTGAGAAAATCGTAGATTTGAATTAAAAAATTAAAATTATTTTAAAAATATTTAAATATAGAAAGCCCAACTTACAACAGTTTATAGAATACACTTTTACAAACTCTAGTGCAGGTTCAACTAAAACAAAATCCAAAAGGTGTCAGAAAAACCAACACCCATTTTTCAGAATCCCTGAAAATTTATACATTAAAGCTAACCCCCAATGAAATATTAATTTAAAACATTCCATCAGCGTGTTTATATTTAAAAAAAAGAAAATTTAACTCTAGAAACAATCCAAGAATAAAAAAAAGGAAGAAAATTCTACAAAGAAACTCAAACTCAAAGTGGGCCGCCATACATAAATTAACCACCGTTTCTTTAACTTTCGTAATGACTTGTTGTCTTCTAAAATTAAATAATATGACGTGCTATAAACTGTTATTCTTTTATTGAAGTCTGTTAATAGTACATCTGAGAGAGGGTGACTAGATTTTCATGGCATAGAAAGATAGAGTGGGCACTGGTTTCTTGTTTAAGTGCCAGACCGACAAGTGATCACATTAAAAGAGTGCATAAGAGATATACCGGTATATTCTTACAGGCTCACAAATTGTATCAGATGGATGGGCGCTTTATGCCTACCCAGATCAGACACAGAATCTACAAACACTCCACTGTGGTCCATCAACAAAATTTTGTCAATCCAAATGATCCTGGTGTCCACATGCAGAATATTGAAAACTGCAAAGGCAGTTTGGCACAAGCCGCCATCTTTTCCCTGCATATTTGAGTGAGTTCATGTTTCGTTATCGTATTTGTGGAAATATTTTAAAGAACTTCCTTGTTAGCTTGGGGGAGAACTATGCATCAACTCAAACTCTGTTTTCTTTTCATACATTAAATTGTTTAAATGTTCCCATTTTAAAAATTTGGTCTTTTATTTATATGTTGAATGATTATGTACAAATTACAAATTTCAATTTATTAGGATCAATTCAATTTTTTTTATCTTATCAATAAAAGAAGAACAGTTTAAATATCACTTCAAACTGGAAGAACACAATTTTCTAACAAAAGACACTCAAGTCTGGTAATTTAACCAATAATTATACCATAAAAAGAAGCATGGAGTTGATTTACTATTGAATTGACTGCAATTGTAATAAATCTACTCCTGCAATTACTAAAAGTACAATCAAACTTTTCCATTTCAATTCAATAAGAAGGTCTAATACTAATAAGAAGTTAAATAGACTAATACTAATTATTAATAGCACCCCTAAGCCAATTAAAAATATTAATATTAAATAATTTTTTTCAAATACAGTAGAACCCGGTTATGTCGACAGCCTCAGGGTTTGCCAAAAAGCGTCGAGATAACAGATGACTGAGATAACCGAAAACCAATATGGCAGCAATATATTAACATGTGCTTGAAATTTCTTTATATACATGATGTGCATTAATAAATGCAGGTACTTCAGTAAAAAAAAACAAAGTCGTCGTGGGCCGCTAAATCTGAAATAGCCAATATTTTTTAATTTCCAATTATTTAGAGCAAATTTAAGATAATGAAACAGAATCAACTTTTTAACTTTAGTACTTTTCGAGCTTTGAATTTTTAAAGTGCGAGTTTGTTTGGTATTTTCTATTATGTACGAACCTCCATATTTTGTGACCTCATTCTGTTAATCGTGTCTTGCGCAACGAATATATAGTTTATATAAGGCAACGCATCCCCTTATTACTAAAATACTATTTAGGGACTACTTATTTTGAACTTTCAACTTTGGCACATAACTATTTAATTAAAATTAAAGCCAATGGTTTAATAGTTTTTGCACATGGCAAACTCTTATGAATGAAACTATGACGTAGTTCCACGGCATAGCTATTATGCAAGTGACCGTGAATGGCTGTCCATGACAATGTTTTGCACACAGCAAATTATGATAATTTATAATATGGACTCTAGTGAATTAAAACATATTTATTTAAATTGCTTCTAGGTTTATTCTAAAACACAAGTCCTGTATTTTGAGAAATAAATAATAATTTTTAATTATGAAAAACTTGTTTATTTGTTGCTAGCTATTTCTTGTTGCGGAGTTCAAAAGTCGGCAATTGGTCATGGAGACCAAGATAACCGAGGTTAGGTGGCAAATTTGGCCAACTTTTGTGTTCGAGATATCAGTGATCTGTGACATGACATAGGAGAAAATCAAAGAGAGAATTTTGCAGTTCCACTTCATTACTTAAACTTAACTTCAAAATTGTTGACATAACCACCGGGTTGGCGAGTTAACTAAGGTTGAGATAAGCGGGTTCGGTTAAAAATGGGGACGCCTGCCACTTTTTTATCGAATTTCTCAAATTATGCATCCCTAAATCGATCCCTGCCTAACCTGAACCCTAAATGGATCCCTAAACCTAACCTAAACCCTAAATCACTGCAACTATAATAAAGACACAAAAGACGCCGTGGCAGCCGTCCTCGGTTTTAGCCGGTTCAACTGTAATGTCTAAATAATTTAGGAACAGTTAGTCTGAGTGAGTAACAAGTGGAAGCGAGTCAAAAGTTAAAGTTTTAAGTCTGCCAGTTTCACTACCCCGGCTCGGGTTTGCTAATAAAAATAATAAGAGAAGGCTCAGCAGGCCCTCTGTAAGTGCTGTAGGCTACTACTGTAGCCTTCGTTATAAAATTATGTAAATATATTGTGACTAACACTGAAAAGTAGTGATAATTAAGACCCCGAGACTTGGCTGAATCTAAAAGAAAATCCTTTTATGTTTCATTGGAGTCCTGGTGAATGCATTGTGCCACTCATTTATTTTTGTTAAAATTCTGTGGGGGGTGGGGCTACGGAAATCACATGACTAAACAAACAAAAACGAATTTTTAGAACAAAACAAATAAATACTTATATGTAATTATTAGAACATTATCTAAAGAAAGCTTTTATAAACTGCCTAAGCATTAAAAATTAAATTTATAATATCAAGAATTCGTTCAAAATTTTATTTTTTTAATATGAAATAATTTTTAATTATTTCATGTACAAGAAAAAAAATAAGCTTGCTGAGGTCTGACTTATTATAAGGTTAAAGATGGCGGCTGTCAAGACAGATCCGTGTAAGGAATCAGCAAACGAAAGCAATGAATTCCAAGCAGAATTAGAAACAATAGAAGATGCAATGGAACAAAATGAAAACGGAGAAACAGCAAAGAAAAAAAAGAAGCGGAAAAAGAAGAAAAATAGTTAGTTTGTAATTTGTATTTTCCAATATTTTATTTTATTGAATAAATACAATTAATAAATTAATAATAAATGCCCAAAAGTAAATCCAAAGCAAATATTGTAATTAATTAAGGTAAAAGTGCACTTCAGGTGCGTATATTATTTCTTAACGCATTTCGTATTTTAAAATTTTTTTATCATGTAAACTTACGTGTATTCTTTAATAATTAAATACAGGCAGTTATAGTTAACTAATTCTGAATTATAAGTCTATAACTATAAGTCGCATCTTTTCTTTTTATTTTACTTCTAAAGAGTCTTTAACCATCCCCCAACCAAAGTGACATAGCCCCATTTTTTTGTATTTTTATTTCACCCTATGCCAGATTTTTAGCCACCTATAAGTTAGTATGCTAAACGAAATTTTCAAACTGTAAGCATGTTCACAAAAAAGAATGAAATACTAGATTTTTCATTATGCACAAGCCCCCCCCCCCCTCTTTTTTATCCTCGCAGAGGGCTTGGAATATAGGGGTTGTCCTTTGAAGTCGGGTGGGGGGGGGGGGGGAGATTATAAGTGGATCACTGACTAAGGCAGTGGACACACACGTCATCATTGTCCTGGGCCTGGAGGGAAGCTGAAAAAAGAAAAGGGGGGGGTGCACGAATACGTGCCAATGTGTGATCACGTGTCCACTTTAAAAAAAATATATTTGTGACGTTGCACAAATGGGGGAAATCGGGATGATAGCGTGGGGTCATTTTGATAGTCTCATCCTGAAGGCTGCTAATACGCTGTCCGTGATTGGTCAGCTCTAATTTGAGTACCCCTCCTCTTTTTTCGTATGCAAATGCGCTTATTAATTGGTGACTGATTTGCGCTGAGTAAAGTGAGGGTGAGGGCTAGTGATTAGTAATAAGACGGACTCGTTTTGCGGTATTGCTGTTAGTGTCATCATTTTGTTAAAAATGGCAGGACGACCAAGAATGTTTATCCAACGGAAATTTTTAGCATTTGGTTTATACGCGCACTTTGTGAGACAACACATAATGTTAATACAACCATGGAATTTCTCGTAAGGCGCTCGTAACCATTGCCATGTGGCTTGTAAACTGGCTACATATGTCAAGTATGTGAGTTCCTTATAATTACCGGGATCTGGATCTCACCGGAAACGGGAACTCACTGTAACCGGTATCTCACTGGGATCTGGAACCCACTGGATCGGGATCTCACCGGCATCAGGATCTCACTAGGATCAAGATCCTATCGGGATCGGAATCTCACCGGGATCGGGATCTCACCGGAAAAGGGATCCCACCGGGATCGGGATCTCACCGGAAATGGGATCCCACCGGATTGAGATCTCATTTAGTTTGGGATACCACCGGAAACGGGATTTCACCGGGATCGGTATCTTACCGGCATCGGAATCCCACCATGACCAGTATTCTACCGGAATCTGGATCCCATCGGGATCGGGATCCCATCATGATCCTTCTGGGTGCCATCGGAAAACGGGAAAAACAAAATGTTTACATATGTTATTTATTATTTAATTTTAAGGTGTTTTATAGGAGACAAATTAATTAATTTTTTTTTTTATACCTATAGTGGTGTTGTTTTGTTGTTGATATTTCGCTTAATAGCAATGTGAATTAAAAGGACGTAGCAGATGTTCGTTTTTTTCTGAATGCAATCCCGAGCAAATCCGGTTTTATTTGAAAGTAAAGTATAAAATAAATACATTTATTTTAACCAAGATTCATCCAAATAGGCAACTTTTATAACATATCTTTAAAGACAGAAGAGTTATCCATGATTTACATCAATGGCTCCGTAAACGACGAAAGATTCAAGATAATGTACTTTTTTTTTATCTCGTAAAATTTGTTAAATTGTTGTTGTGTTCCAATAAAAAGATGATATTTTACTTTTAAAATACTTTTTATGCATAATACACGTAAGTTTACATGATAAAATACGAAATGCGCTAAGAAATAATATACGCACCTGAACTGCACTTTTACCATTAATTAATTAATCATTAATAATTAGGCATTCCATTCCATATAAACTTTATTTAATCATAAAACTTTGATAAAATAGTACGAAAGTCAACACAAATAAATTGTCAGCAACCATGACCATAGACGCCATAGTGTCCACAGGGGGGGCTGTCTCTTTTTGAAGAGAGAACCATAAATAACAGACTTTCTGAAGTGACCGTACTTCCATCTCCTAGTAGGTTGTTGACAAGTAGCACAGGTGAATGTTATTGCGACTAATCCACGTTCAGCTAGCCAACTTATACATTCTTCTGTATCACTATTTCCTATAACAACCACTACAGACTACATGTTATACATGTCTACATGTCATGATTATTGTATTGAGATGACTCATTCTGACAATTGTGTTTTGATTGAAAATTGTTGACAGAGCACACAGTCTTCCAACCAATTATACGTTTGAAATTAATGAAAAATTGAAGTTTATGTTCAAACTAGACATCTAGACTTTGCACACTTAGTATATGATTATTGACTTTGGGGGCTAACTCTCCCATTTCTCTTAGTGGGAAATAAATTATTTGCCCAGGAAGACTATACAGTAAAAAACTGACCAATACATGTTTCTCCAATCATAAACTGCTTTGGAAAGTTTCATTTGATAATTGACATTACTCCTAAATGCAGTATTATATAACTATCTTGCATTCTAAAATGCATTATTTTCATATATTCCAATAAATCTTAAAAAGGGAAGAGTAATATTATGGAAACATTTTTAAAATTCAGGTCCAAAAAACTTTTGGATTGGACCGCTTTCAATCAGCAAGTGATAAATACTCATTTTCCAATATAATTTATTTTCCTTCATAGATACAGTTAATGGTTCTGAAGAAGTTAAAGGGGAGGAAAATAATCCCAATGGAAATATTGAGCTTATTGTAAATGGAATCAATACAGTCAACATAGAGCAAGCAGAGAAGCAAGAAGGTATGACGTAGTATAATTTTTTGTTAGTATGAAATTAAATCTGATCTTTTAATAATAATAATTTAAAAATTATATTTTTACTGTTAGACAAATCATCAGCTACCATTTGTCTTAACTGTTAATTAGAGGATAAACAGCTGAATTCTTTGAAATAGGATTTGATTTTAATTTGCTAATGGGAATGGTATTTTTAAAATGTGTATTTTAACAATATGATTTTGAATGCATGATACATTCTCCAGATGAATCTTCAGAAGCTGATGGAAAGAAAAAGAAAAAGCGAAATAAAAAGAAAAAGGGTAATAGTTTGTTCAGTAAAATCAATTTTTTAAATGTTCGAAATTAATTTGTTCAAATTCAGTGTATAATTTTGTTAGTTTATTATAAAAAAACATTGTGTATATTAAGAAAAAAGAGTAAAAAAAAAAAGGGGGGGGGGGGGAATGTTGTTAACCTTCTTTTAAATACATTTAACATCAAGTAACTGTAAAAATATTTTTACACCGGTATCTTAAATCTTAGTTACTTTTATACCTATTATACCTATGATTAATTATTACTATATATGAGTACTTTCTTTATCCAGCCAACAATGTAGGCAAGCAGCAAACAGTGCCACCTTCAGTACCAATTGTAGATCTTTTCAATCAGGGGGAATATCCAGAAGGAGAAATTTTGGAGTATCCAATAAATCAGGATGGGTAGGTTTACTGAAGTGATTTTAATAACATAAATAATTTCCCCACTTTACCAGAAAAAGTATATGAGCCCTTATAAATTTATTCAGCAATTCCATTCAAAATTTGCTTAAAAGTGCTGAAATAAAAAGAAGAAAAAATCTTTGCATCAAAGTTTAATTATCATGACATACTGGATAAAAAAAATGCAGACTTATTTTAAAATTTATAATTTCAAGGATGTCCTTTCATCTTTAATTGTTAGTAAATTAAAATAGTATTTACTAACAATTAAATATTTATTAGTATTAAATTTAATTATCATTGCAGCCGAACAGCCAAAAATAGAATTACTGATGAAGAAAAGAAAATGTTGGACAGGTCACACAGTCACTTATATGAAGATATGCGATTGGCAGCTGAAGCACATAGACAGGTAATGATAAATTGTTATTATTACTTTACTTCTGAGACATTGCTTCAAACAAAATTTAAATGGTTTAATTTTTTATAAAATAAGTGTCAAGGTATTACAGTAGAACCCGGTTTTGTCGACGGCCTTGGAGTTTGCCAAAAAGCGTCATTTTAATTTTTTATAAATTAAGTGTTAAGGTATTACAGTAGAACCCGGTTATGTCGATGGCCTTGGGGTTTGCCAAAAAGCGTCGAGATAACCGATGATCCAGATAACCAAAAACCAATATGGCGGCAATATATTAACATGTGCTTGAAATTACTTCATGTACATGATGTGCATTAATAAATGCAGGTACTTCAGTAAAAAAAAAATAATAATTTTTTTTATATTCCAGTTATTTAGAGCAAATTTAAGATAATGAAACCAGAATCAACTTTTTAACGTTAGTACTTTTTGAGCTTTGAATTTTTAAAGTGCAAGTTCTTTTTGTATTTTCTACTATGGACGAAGCCTCCACATTTTGTGGCCTCATTCTGCTGATCGTGTCTTATGCACTGACAATATAGTTTATATAAGGCAACGCATCCTCTTATTATTAAAATACTATTTAAGGACTACTTATTTGGAACTTTCAACTTTGGGACATGACTTTTTAATTAAAGCTTGCCCTGACCAATGGTTTAATAGCTTTTGCACATGGCAAACTCTTATGAATGAAACTCTGAATAGTACCACGGCATAGCCATTATGCAAGTGACCGTGAATGACTGCCCATGACAACGTTTTGCACACAGCAAATTATGATTATTTATAATATGGACTCTACCGTGTTTTTAAACCTCGAATTAAAACATATTTATTTAAATTACTTTCTAGGTTTATTCTAAAACACAACTCCTGTATTTTGAGAAATAAATAATTATTTTGAATTATGAAAAACTTGTTTACTTGTTTGCTATTTCTTCTTGCCGAGTTCAAAAGTCGGCGATTGGTCATTGTGACCAAGATAACCGAGGTTAAGTGGCAAATTTGGCCGCTTTTTGTGCTCGAGATATCAGGGTTCGGTGACATAAAAGAATCGACATAACCAAGGAGAAAATGCTAAGACAAAGAGAGAATTTAAAAAACGTCGACATAACAGGGTTGGCGAGTTAACCGAGGTCGAGATAAATAAATATAAAACATAAATTTAATGTGGACATTTCAGGAAATAAAATGAGTTTTAAGAGGGGTGTTATTTTTAATGTTAGCTTTGTTCATTTTCACAATTTGTATTTATTTCAGACAAGGCAGTACATGAAATCAATAATTAAGCCTGGGATGACCATGTTTGATATTTGGTACGTTATTTAAAAATATCAAAATAAATCTATAATTACAAAAATAATTTGTACAACTAATAGTTACTAATATTTAATTTTAGTAATTTTTTTTAAAAAGTTTGTGTCAAGTTAAGAAATAAATTTAAAAATGTGTTTGTTTTTTTAATTTATCAATGTGCTATATATTACTGCAGTGAAGAGCTGGAAAATACAGCAAGAAAACTGATTAAAGAAAATGGTCTGGAAGCTGGACTAGCTTTTCCAACTGGTTGTTCTCTGAACCACTGTGCTGCCCACTATACTCCCAATGCTGGTGACACAACTGTTTTAAATTATGATGATGTCTGCAAAATTGACTTTGGCACCCATATTAATGGTATTATATATTTTTTTACTCATTATTATTTTCTAACAAAGAATGTTTCTACGCAGAATTAGTCATATCAGACCTTTCTTAACGTTTGATGCAAAAAATAGGCTGATGTCCGCAAATTTGACCATGCTAAAACACCCCTCGGAGAGTTGCATTGGCTGCGGTCCACGCTCACATAGAGTACAAAATTGCAACTCTGTGCTACCACTACTTGCATGACCTGGCACCGTCCTATCTAAGAGCGCTCATGACGACTTATATACCCACTAGACAACTCCGCTCATCCGATAGTGGCAAATTCTCGATACCACTTGTTTGCTTGGAGACTTATTGAAGGCGCACTTTCACATTTGCTGGCCTAACAATTTGGAACACACATCCTGACAATCTCAGAAACAGCCAGACACTGGAGTCTTTCAAAACAAAATTGAAAACACATCTATTTTGCAAACACCTGTTGGGGTGATGTTGTGTACCATCTTTTCCAGCTGGCTATTATTTCCTAGATGTGTATTGGCCTGTGTTGTTTATGTTTGCAAGAGATGAAAGACTTAGAATGGGTATTCTCGTATATATTTTTTGTAATGTTGCGTTTTGTATTTCAATGTGGTATAATATAGATTTTTTCTTTTCTCTTTTAATAGGGTTGACTTTGTACCGCGCTTTGAGCCTTTGGGGATGAAGCGTGATTTTCAAATAAACTTTATTATTATTATTATTAAAACATTTATTAAAATAATGTAAAGGAAGCTACCTTTATGTTGACTGTGCATGGATATAAGAAAATGTTTGAAAACACTAATTCAGTCTCATTATTGAAAAATAAATAAATGAAGTGAGGAAGAAAGTGTGATATGAATCCTGAACAAGAAGTGAATGTACAGTAGAGTCAAGATTTTTCAACCTTTATCTGACCCTAGTCTAAGTGAAAATTCTCATGGCCATATGTATGAAATTTTTTTAAGCTACAGTTGCAATGCTATATTCACTTTGTTTAGCATAAATAAACTAAAAGAAATATACAATTCACTATGCATGTGCATAAGTATCATCATTTCATTACATCTGGTATAGTTTGTTATACAGCACCTAATTATTGTTTCTGTCAGTTTTTATTTATTTTCATATATATTTTATTGTCCAATAATTTAACAGCTACTTAATGTTGAATATGTTCTTATCAGTAATCAGCATTATTATTTTAGATGTGGTCAACCATGACAGCGCACAACTGTTAATAATTAAATAATTATCACAATATGTTGTGACTACATAATTTCTGTCAGGATGAAACATTAATTTTTAAAATTTAACCTATCATTCAAAGTGTTGTGTATATATACCCGGTATATGAAATATAATCTTTAATAACTTTTTGGTGGTTCTGTCTCTAACTCACTTCAGGTCACCTTGTTGACTGTGCCTTCACATTGACATTTAACCCGAAGTATGATCAGTTATTATTGGCTGTAAAAGAAGCTACAAATGCTGGCATCCGTGCTTCAGGAATTGATGTCAGGCTGTGTGATGTGGGGGAAGAGATTCAAGAGGTGATGGAGTCCTATGAAGTGGAACTTGATGGCAAAACTTATCAAGGTAAATTTAATTAACCAATTTAAAGAGGGTTTGACTGCGGTAACCTAAAAGGGATTTCGGACATTGCAGTTACAGTAACTAGTATATTGCATGTAAGTAATATACCTGATAGAATCTATATAATATATAGAGAATAAGTTAATAAAAAAGATGATACAGCAGTGGTTCTCAACCTTCTCAATGCCGGGACCCTTATATACAGTTCCTCATGTTGTGGCGAGCCCTAGCCACAAAATTATTTTCGTAGCTACTTCATAACTGTTGAGTACATGTGTTTTCCAATGGTCTTAGGCGATCCCTGTGAAAGGGTCGTGCGACCCCCAGAGGGGTCGCAACCCACAGGCTGAGAACTGCTGGGATACAGTATCAATCAAATTCCCAATTTTCATAGCTGCAATGTCTTTTCCTGTTTGGTTTTTATATTGTTATTCTAAACACTTTTTTTTCATTCTTCTGATTTTGTTTTTGTAAGGGACTTGTACCCATTCTCTTTTTTTTTTCCTCTGATTTAAAATTTTTTAATAGTTAGGATATAAATATATTACGGGAAATTTACTGTAATTTTATTTATTATACAGATGAAAGCATTAGCTAAAAAATTTGAATTTGTAGTTTGTTGTATGATAATTAAAGCTAATATATACTTATTTACACTAATTGTTTGTGTCTCATTAATCAAGGTAAAGTTATATTACTCTTTGGCAATTTTAAAGTTGGCATCACACGCTATGCTATTTTGAGTGGCATTTGTGAAGAGAATTTTGGACAGTGGTAACAGTTCCCTGAAAATAAATAGAAAAATCATAAATATTAAGAAAGAATATTTTACAAAAAAATGTAATACTAACACATCTAAGCTGTAGGCCATGAAGTAGCACTGCTAGTTAATATTTGAGTAGGATGTTGAGAAATTTTTTTAAAGAATGATCATATCATCAAGCACTCAAGCTAGTAATTGAGCTTTTAAAAGTTAAGTATATGATGTCCAATCAATATTTTATAATATTTACTATATCAATTCTTTCAATTTAGTGAAGCCTATCAGAAATTTAAATGGTCATTCAGTTGGTCAGTACAGAATCCATGGTGGAAAGACTGTTCCCATTGTAAAGGGTGGAGAAGCCACAAGAATGGAGGTACGTGGAATAAATTATTTCTGGTGAAGATTTTTATTTTTGAATCTACAATTCATTTATCTTTTTCATCTTGGACAACAGCTGAAAAGACAGAAATCATATTTAAAGGAATGCTGCTTTGAATTATGTTTTCCCCCTATGATCTATGAATGTCAGGACTAAAATTTAATATTTGAGAACTCTAACCTGAGAAATTTTTTTTTTAAATTTTAATATTACATTCAGGATCAACGCAAATTATTTGGCAAGAACACATTTTTTATTTTAAAAAATAAAGCTATTAATAATTATTAATGTATTGTAAGTCGCTTCAGTTGTTATTGTAAAATAATATTTAAATGTCTTATTATATAACAGATTCTATTCACAGTTAGAAAACATCTGTTTTAACTAAATATGCAGTGGAATTTAAAAATAAATACAAAGGCTACCTTATGGAATTATGTACTTGATAAGTTTGAGAATTTGATTATTTTTTTTTTTTAAAATCTTAGGAGGGTGAAGTTTATGCCATAGAGACTTTTGGCAGTACTGGTAAAGGTCATGTTCATGATGATATGGAGGTGTCACATTATATGAAAAACTTCGAAGTTGGCCATGTGCCTCTCAGGTAACAAAAAAATATCTTTGTAAATGTTCTTTTAAAAACACAATTTATTTTCTTCATTTTTCAATGAGAAAAACTTCAACCTCAAGAAAATACATTTAAAAAGCAAACTAAGCTTTCAAGATAGCTATATTACAGAACTTAACAGTTTAACCAAACATAAATAAAGAAAGAGTACCTTTTTTTCAACCAATGAAAGTTAATTTGTGTTAATGAACATCATTTGTTAAGTTATTTCTTTATTAATATTTACAGATAATTATAGACTGTATGAAATAACATTGACATGTAGCGGAATTTAAATTTTTTTATTCTATGATTCAAGTTACTGATAAAATTTTAACAAAAATATTTATTTCTTAACAAATCTCCAAAAGGTTGGCCAAATCAAAGCAACTGCTGAATGTCATTAACCAAAACTTTGGAACGCTTGCTTTTTGTCGCCGTTGGTTAGACCGCCTTGACCAAAGCAAGTACCTAATGGCCCTGAAAAATCTCTGTGATGCTGGTATCATTGACCCCTATCCACCACTCTGTGATCAGAAGGGCTCCTACACTGCCCAGTTTGAGCACACCATCATTTTGAGGCCAACCTGCAAAGAAGTGGTCACCAGGGGAGATGACTATTAAATCTGTATAATTGTCTCATGGAGATAAGATGCATTGATAAATATTATTTTTGTTTCCAATACAATAAAAGTAAAGTAACATCAACATGAATTTGTGTATACCATCACCCTTCCCCCCCAAGTAAGCAACTATTTAGTTATTAAAATTTAATTTATTTTTAAAGTGTATTATAAGTCTAAATATCAGACTTATAATATTCAGATAAATAATGATAACTTCTAAATAAAGAGGAAATCTTTTTTGAACAAGTTTGCTTTAATTTATTGCACATTCTTTTGTTTGTACAAAGATAGGATCCCATTCTTTTGGAAAAAGGATATCTCATAGAAAATGCTGAAATGAATAGAATTTTTTAAAATTCACTTTGAGTTGGAGAGATATTTATTTCATTCAGTAAAATAGAAGAAACCAATTAATTTAATTTTTCTGAAAAATAATAATAATAATAGACAATAATAAATTAAATCTTTTAAGAAATATATTTAAAATGAAGTAACTTTTTATCTTCATAATCGATTGTTAAAGTAATTCATAATTTGTGGAACAAGAGAAATAAACAGCTTATAAATAAATTTTGATCTGAACAGTTATATTTTCTTTTCATTTCCATTAGCAATACAATTTATTATGTTTAATATATTTATCTGCTTGTTTTTCCTCTTAAATGGTGTTCAGTTTAAATTTCTTATTATCTAAGACAGCGGTTTTCAACCTTTTTTGTTTGCTTCCAACACACAAATTGATAATCTTTAAAAATGCAATCATCCACATATGAAAAAAACAAAAAAACACCATATTTTGGCTGTTTCAGTAAGAAGCAACATTCATTTTAAATTCCAGGCCTATTAAATTAATGAGATTATATAAATTATATTACATGTACTATACTTGGTAAGTAAATGCCTTCAAATACTTTGTTGCTTTTTTAAAATTAAAAATATTGCGACACATTCATGAAGAAAACACCAATTGAAAACTGCTAAAAATCAATTAACCCGGTCACATTTTAACTCGGAAACTTAGCTTTTTTACTTGTACTAATTTTGAATTTAAAAATTGTTTTGAAAGTCATCCAAAGCATCAATTATTCAAAGCAATAATAAGGGTGCTTGAATCAAATCTATTTCATCTATATTTAAATTATATTAGCAGTTATATTGTACATCATTTTGGATTTAAACTCGACCACACACATAATAATGCATAAACATTTAGTAGTGAATCATTTATGTTTCTTAAATCGTATACATCAAAAATCCCTATCCAGTCTTAACTTGCTTGCAACACTAATTGTTGAAGATGTGCTTGGGGTGCTTTCTGCTTTACACCCAGGATCATAGGGAAGCACATAGAATGTACAACTTTTTTTCTTATAAAACTAATGGTCCCAAACCTTGAGTTCTATAGAATAGTAGTTACTATCCTAGTGTCTCATTTGTATTTACTTAGTTTACATGTTTTAATAATTGTAAAGCGCTTAGAGCTTTATGATAAGCGCTATATAAAAATGCCTAAATAAATAAATAAATAAATAAATAAACCAGAAGACTAAGAAACCTGATGCTTTTCTAGGTTCCCATTAAGTTCTAATGTAGTGGGTTTTTTTCAGACTCTGATAGCTCCAAAATAATTGAACATATTTATTAACAATGTGTCTCCCAATGATGCTGTAACAAATCACAACTGCACTGATACTTCATTATAATATTTAACCCTTTTATTTTATTTCTGTTTTCATTAATATTAAAATCATCAAGAGACTATATATTTTTAGCAATACTTCATGAATTTAATTTTTAAGTTTACTTCAAATTTAAAAAAAATAATGCTTTGAACATTATTGATTACTCGTCAAAGTTAAATGAGTGGTGAAAAAAGCTAAATAAGTTATAAGACGCCAAAAATGAAAAATGTGCTTTTACAAGTACTCTAATCTCAATTTGAAAGGATACTATCGAACAGTTGAAAAATATTGTCTATATAGAAGTCTTCTGACAGTAATTTGAAATTTTATATTATAATTACATTTCTCTGCTTGTAAACATTAAAGGTTCTCTGTGACTTTTTGTTAAGAAAAAAATTGAAAAACAATATTTCATTTTAGTCTACTAAAATCTCCATGTATATACAAAAATAAAGCACCCATTAATTATTAGTATAACTGGGCTTATCACTTCACTAAAGGAGAAAAATACAGCTTACTTTAAAAAAAATTGTTGGTATTTTGCTAATTATACCTTGTAACACCAGTCACGTTAGTTTATTTGGGTGCAAAGGTTTTTTGTCAACCATTTGAAATTCAAGTTTTGTATTGGTGTCAGTGAGTTCTCTTTTCTTTTACCTTTGTTTCTCAGAATCATCAATTTTGGAAATTTAAATGAATTGCAAATCATGAACCTTAACAAAAATGATAACGCATTTATTTTCACTTGTTTTGTGCTTCTTTGTATTGTTTTGTGCTTCTTTGTAAAGGGTATTAGTTTTTTTGTGTTTGTCATGGTTCTTTTAAAAAAAAATGAATGGTTTGCACATTATGTGTACAGACATGTAAATTAAAAATAGATTCATCAGCTAAATTGTTGTGTCGTGTCATTTTCTACATGTGTTTCTCGTATATTCAGATGTATATGTATTAAAAGACATCAGAATATATAAATTAAAGCAAAGTGAAAATGGCAATGCAATCATGGTATTAACAGTTCAGTAACATATAGCCTATCAGAGATCAAATTTATAATTAATATTGAGATAATAGAGATAGCTTAAAATAAAAATCAAACTAAAATTTTATGGACTTTTGAGATGCACAAATTAGCCAATGGTAAGTTTCTGCTTGAAATTTACACTGAGCATTTTGTCTTTTTAATAACTACAGGAAGAAAAACAATTCCACTACCTAGCAGAAGCTAACTTATTTGAACCTCAGTCACAGACACCAATGATATAATGGACACTAGAAGTTTCTAGCACATAAAATATTAAGGAACAAATCAAGGACAAAATATTCATAGCTGTTTGCCTCTATCCACACTTAAATATTACTTAGAAAAAATCAAAATGGCAAATGAATATCATTTTTATAACATAAATATGACAAAAACTGAAACAAAATGTGTTCATCCCTAATTGAACTCTCTTTAAAACAGAGAAAGAAATAGGCATTCATAATCCAATAATGTAAAAATAAATTCATTTAAAATACGATATTGATCTAAAAAATGTTTGTCATATTTAGGCCTAATTGTTTTAATTTGATTCCTCATATTCTATAAAACACTTAAAAGCCTCACTATATCAAAGCTTAAAATACAACTCTTTTTTTGAGAATTGATGTAAAAGAAGAAACATATTTTTAAAATAAAATTTAAGAGTGATTGTTACCGTTATTTTTTTTATAGGCCTAATTATAAAAAACCTGTAAACTTTATTACAAGTACTTGGGTCTTGTACTTAGGAGCACAATTAAATTAAAGATAGGCTCCTTCACCGTTTTATAAATACGGAATATCATCTAACGCGGAAACTCCGAAAAGAAAGTAAAAGAAAACGCTGTGAGTGTGAGTTTCTTGCGTACAGCAGGACAGACTTAAACGCAAATTAATAGCCCTATATCCCTAGCAAAACTCTAATTAATGTATACGTTTAGTTGGCATTTCGGCTAATTTTTTTAATGAAATTAATAAGGCAGGCCTACATTTTAATTTTAGTAGCAGCGTGTGTGTCTTTGAGTTTGACTCTTGAGTTGAGTAGTAACAGTATGTCAGTAAAGTCAGTAGTAGTTAGTAGTAAAAGTAGTTAGGTACTTCTCACATGAACTGAAGTACTTTAACTTAAAAAAATTTATATGAAATTACAGATTTAAGACTAGTTATTTATATATGGCTGGGAATAATCAAGAGACTTGTAACAAATTTATGGTTGCTGAATAAGATTTTAAAGTTAGAAAAAGTTATGAATTTTTTGTGTGAATTATTTTGGGTTAACTCTTAAACCCCAATTGAGACAATATTAATATTGTCAATATGAGATGAGAAAAATATAAAAAAATGACTAAAATTAACATAAAACGAGGCCAGAGACTTTTTGAGAGAGCTGTCACTCGGACCAGGCTACCAGATAGAAGTGAGAGGTTGGGATTAAAAAATGTTTAAAACATTATTGTTGGGATTGTAAGATAAAATTTAGTATCGAAAGATAATTGAATAATTAAATGGATCCGTACATGCATCGCCCCTATTTGGACCCAGGTCCCATTAGACTAACTGCAATTTAGATGTCATTTGTGGTAGTTTATTTTAGTTAAACTATATTCACGATTATCTCATTTTTTATAAAAAGAATGTAAATATTTACACTTTCTCCCATCATTTTCAATGTATGCGGGAACGAATTTCAAAATATCTAAATTTTTTGGCTTCGGCCTGAAGAATTAGGTTTCTAAACATATAGTCCATTCAATTATCTTTCATTTGATACCAAATTTTGCCGTACAAACCCTACAATAATATTTAAAAATTTTTTTAATAAACCCAACCTCTCACTTCTGATATCGGGTCCGAATAGCCGCAGCCTTCATCATATGATTTTTCTTATTTTCAAACTTTAATATTTAATAAAAGAAATGAAAGCGATCCGCATTTTTTCCCATTAGATGGCATATGCAATATTTTTTACATTTTCAAGGGGACAAAATGTTGAAGAAGGGGCACCTAACTCTACAATGATTTGTCACCAGCAGAGAAATGATTTATCCTAGTACCTAATTTTAGCCATTTTTAGGTTAAAAATTTATAATAAGTCTTTGACTGCCTAGTTACTAAAATTTTCACAAATTCATACTCGGTCAAAGACATAAATATGGGCATAAATTATTTCAATTAACTTGACTCATCTCAATTATCTTTATCAATAATGTTGTTTAACTGTACAGTGTGTACTGTTAGGGCCCTTGGCAAGGGGCCATCCATAAATTTTGTCACAAGGGGGAGGCGTTTCACATATTTGTGATTTTGCATTGTGAGGTTGCCTACATTTTTTGACAATTATGTTATGAGGGGGGGGGGGGGGGGGAGGGGTGTCAAAAGTTGTTCAAAGTAGCGTGACATCAATATTGGATGGACCCTTAGATTAGCTAGGCTTACTAGATTAGATTTAGATAGTAACTGATGGGAGTAGTTTTAGGCCACCACAAAAACAAAAAATATGATATAGCGAGAGCGAGAGAGAATTGGTGCAACTTTGTCTCTTTCTTTTAAATAAAATGAAATAGTGTGCAAATTTAAAAAATGCATGCTATTAGTATGTAATTTAATGTGATTATTGAGGCATCAAAGGTTGGTCCACTCATCAATACATTTTTTTCGTTATATTAATGGGCTGAACTTAGTAGACTGCATTGTTTTTTTTTGTGGAAGGGAGTGGCAACAAGCAAGGTCCGCCCCAGGCAGCATTAACCCTAGCTACACCATTGTCTGGACCAACTAGTGATACTACTGCGATGGTATTTAGTATAGTAGGCCAAAAACTATACTTTAATGATACTGGTATAGTTAAATTATAGCCTACCTTGTCCTAGGGCTATTGAAGTAATTTTAGTAGGCATTATGCCTTATTAAGTATTAATTTAATATCTTAAATGTAGGGGAAAAAATCTAAGACATTGACAAATATTAATGTTAAGTATAACTTAAGTTAGGGGCAATCCATAAATGATATCACACACATGAAAAAAAGGGGGGGGGGTGTGTTTCACACATTTGTTACGATGTGTTAAAAGGGTTTCTAAATTTTGTAATTTTTTTTTAGCGTGGAGGGCAAACATTGGCCAAGGTAGCATGACCCCTTCTAGAGTTTACTACTACTTATATAATATGAATAAAATAAAAGTCAATGATTTTTATTAATATTTAACTATTTAAATTTTTAAAAATTCTACACTTAATGTATTTTAAAATAACCAAATCAAGAAATAGAAGTAAATTTGGGTGAGGCCTTTAAATTTAATTGAATTTGATTTTGATGTTAGTTATTTATTTTAAGTACTAGTACCGGTAGTAAATATCACACATCTAATCTAAGGACATATTTTTGTGACTGCATGTATTTATGATTTATGTCATGTGATTTACGTATATTGTATATCAAAAGCATCATGTTTAAATTTGATACTGATATAATACAAATCAAGGTGAGGCTAAGTCCAGGATGACACTAGTTTTTCATTTTTTTTTACTTTTCTCCCTTATATCATTTTATAGATACATAGCGCCAATAATTGCTCCAGTGCCATTATATGAAAATGCAGCTTCTGGCTACATTAGTTGTGTTATTGCTATTAGCAATATCCATTGTCCCTAATAATGGTACTAAAGAAAAAGTGAAAAATAAGAAAAAAGAAGTTCCTGTGCAGAAAAAAGAACCCCCAAAGAAAGTTGACAGGAAAGACTATCCTGGTCTCCCAAAGGAAGTTCTTATAATTGGGGCTGGAATGGCAGGTCTGGCAGCAGCAAGAAGAATTTCATCTGATAGGTCAAACTTCACAGTGAAAGTTTATGAAGCAAGGCAAGAACGCTTTGGAGGACGTGTGTGGACTGACAAATTAAAAGATATGAGTGCCAAAGGTATTATGATCTCTTCTTACATTTTGTCATTATCATGAAGCTGAGAGAGGTTATTTAAACAAATAAATACACATGGAGGGATCAGGTAAGTTGCCAAATAAATTAGATAATTTGTATATAAAGGGTAGACATTGATACATTTTTAAACAAAAAGATTTATTGAAAACGTTTTTGCAAAAAGTTTATTCATTCATTACTAATTTTGTACTGATTAGCTACCAGATTTAATTTCACTAAATATTAATTTGTGTTTCAGTTATGAAAACATGGATTTTTAAATTTTTGTAAAGCTTAAAACTATACTAGTTACTTGTACCACTAGTTTTTGTCTCTAATATGCTTAAGCTTTAAAGCAGCCCAATCCTTTTATAATTATTTTATTTTTCTAACCTCTTTTGATAAGTTTTTGTTCTTATACATGTATATAGAAATCTGATAAATGGCATTGTTGAGCAAAGGGCATTTATGATATTTCTCCATTAACTTTTGTCTTGAGCCACAGTATCTAGCTCTCCAGACCTTTTTGTTTTTGCAAAATATTATGTTGTTGACAACTTTTTTATAATGCCATGTGCAATCCATGATCATATACTTATTTTATTCTCTGGCTTCTTTCATTCCAGACATTTTATCTTTTTTAAAGTGCTATGTGTATTTTAAAATAAATTTTGTTTACATTTTCAGGCGCTGAAGTTGATCTGGGTGGTTCAGCTTTCAATGTAGTCTCTAAGAACAATCCTTTAGTCAAACTAGCTGAAGATTTTGAATTAAAGTCCACAAAATTAGACAATCTTCAATTTATTGTGCCATGGGAACAAAAACATTTCAGTGGAGAAGAGCTCACTCAAATCACACGCCAGGCTGGTCAAGTCAGTGGTGCTTTTTTTAAAAATAATTTTATCAAATACTTATGAGAGATAGCTTAGATAAGCCTTTTTTATGTTAACTTAACTTTCATGTTGCATTACACTGAAGTAAAAAGCCATGTACATATAAAGAAAAGCTATGTATAAAGCAATGGGAAGCAAAAATATCATTATTAATTATGTGTATTATCATTTACAATCAGTTACATAAAATCTCAGCTGCCTGTTCTAAGCGAGTTGAGTTACTACACTAAACAATCTGAAAAATTGTTTCATTTTTAAACTCCCCAGATTTTAGGTCAAGCTTTGAATGAATCAAAATCTGTTGAAACTGAAATTTCCGTGAAGGAAGCCATTGATAAAGTTCTAGCTAGTGGTGCCATTGCAAGCAGTGATAGGTTGGTTGCATGTTAGTAATTGTTACTGTAGTTTCAAAATTGCTGCATCGAACCTGAAGATACTAGAAGAGTGCCAAAATGACTAAGAAAACTATGAAGATCCATCAGTTACATCTTTATTTTTGATGTAGTAAAAGAAATATGACTGGATTTATAAAACTTTGAAGCTGATTTATATCTTAAAAAGATAATTATGTATTTGGTAAGAGTAAATTTCCAATCTGATTTTACACATACTTTAATTATAGTTATGACTTTGCTTTTGAAATTATTACACATTTGTCTGAAATCACTGCAGTCCTGGAGCCTTACTCATCAAAAGCCTACCATCATATATCCTGAGGGACTATTCCACTCGCAACTACACTCCAGAACTTCTTGATGTTGGGTATGAGAAGGTTTTGTTGGATGGCATGGGGGAACTTGTGGACAGGTGATAATGATTTTAAATCTCATTTTAATTCTTCTATCCTGATTCAAATTGATAAAGTTATTTATAAATAAGATTAAGTTTTAAATAATAAATATTTTGCAGCAAAAAATGAAAAATTATTTTCAATATATCAAATTTTAATAAGGATTACATGTATAGTGGGAAGTGTTTTTTTTTTTTTAATGAATAAGATTATAATTATTTATCTAAGCAAATTAAAAAAAAAAAAAAACACTGACTGCTGCATTTAAATTGAGAAAGTGAGGGACCCAAAGAGACTAGGGAACCTTACCTGAAGATTAGGGCAGCTACTCAGAGAGCTGAAAGGGGCAGTCCCCCAGACGGTTGTGCACAGGGCTAACAACCTGGCCATGTAAAAAAAATATCTTTTTTACTAAAGGTAAACAACAAAATAAAACCCGGACTGATTCTAATGGAAATCCACACATGCCTGGATACAGTGGATGTGGACTTTTAGATTGCAACTTTTAATGTTCTAAGCCTGTTTAGAGCAGGAGCCTTAGCCAACCTAATGGATAAACTAGTTAAATATAAAATATCTATTGCTGCATAGCAAGAAATTCAATGGGAAAATGCAGACATCCTCAGATCAAAAGACTACATCATATTTTATAGTGGCAACAACATCAACACTCTTGAAACAGGATTTGCTGTAAAGAAAGAAGCCTTTGGTTGAATCTTATGTTTTAAACCAGAGAAATAAAGGTTGTGCTCTTTGAGTGAGGGAAAATGATTCATTTAACATTTATAAATATTCATGCTCCCACTGAAGATAAAAGAATAATTTTATGAGACACTGGAAAAATCTCTGATGAGGCAGCATGACATGATATTAAAATAAAGATTGATGGGTTCAATGCCAAATTAGGGAAAGAAAAATTATTTATGCTAACTATTGACATGGAGAGTCTGCATGAAGTCTGTTTAAGATCAAATCCCATACTTTGCCTTTTTGCTTTAGACTTAATCCATCACTGCCATGGATAAAAGTATACCGGTACTTTGAAAATTTTAGATATTATTGCTTCTTTCTTTCTAATTCATATGGACACTTTTTTAAAAGATCAAAATTTGTTTTCCTAAAGACTTCTTAGTGGTTCTCCTGAAGAGCCTCCACTTCATCTCCATCTGAACAAAGCCGTGAGACAAATAAAAGTTGATAAAAGCCAGGGCAAGGTGTTGGTGCGATTCAGGGATGGCTCACAAGTTTCTGCTGATTTTGTTGTTGTTGCTGTGCCTTCCACGATAATTTCAACAGGTGGATTGTTATTTGAGCCAGCCTTGCCTAAAAAGTACCAGCTAGCTGCTAAAGAAATGGGTGAGTTATTACTATAAAATGGTAAAAAGCTGTAACTTTGTACCACTTTTTTATACTAACCCAGGATCATTCTGTAGTGTGGGAGCTTTTCAGAGCTTTTTGAGTGCCTTTTGAAATAGCATTAAATGACATAGAAATATTAATACAAGACCCCAATAAGTATATATTTTTAGAAAGGTAAATGGATTGGGATAAAGTTGGCTATATTGCCCACCCATAAAAAAAAAAATGTGATCAGTGTCCTTGACCTTGGAGTGCTCAAGAAAAAAAAAAATTGACAAAATGTCTTGCTTTTAAGTGCTCATAACATCATTAAATTTTATAGAGTCCATTAAAATACTAATATAAATGTGGTAGCCAATTCATTTATCTTTCAGAAAATTTATAGTTTGCTAAGGTTTTGATTACAATTAAGCCTCTGAAAGCAATTTTAGGTCATTTATTACTGAACAAAAACAAAAAAACTGGGACCACAGCTAAAACCATGTAAAACATACAAAATCTTGGGCAAAAAATTTATTATTGACAAGTAAACATTTAAAAGGGAACTAACTGATTTGGGTTGTCTAACTGGGTCTAAATCCACAAACAAAACACTCAATGTATTATTTGTGTATTAAAAGTTATGGATTCAAAATATCCAAGGACAATCCCACAATTTGTTAAATTTGGAATTTGTAAGAAATAAAAATGTGGATTCAGGTATAAACCCGGAGGAGCAACCCACTTTGTTAAATTGGGAACTTTTAAGAAATAATAATATGGATTCAGTTATCCCGAACGAGCCCCCAATCGTTAAGCACTGCCTTCTATTGTGAGAAATTAATCTCATATTTTAAATTTATGGCTCTTTCAAACAGTGCCTAACAAAGGACGATACCATAGAGAAATTCATTAACAAAAATACAACACCCAAAAGGTTAAGGACATTAGTCTTTTTTAATGGTTCTGGCCTTTTTTTTCTCCATAATTTGCTTTTTTCCAACCAGGGTCTTTCGAAAGATTTGTCTCATCATAATATTTTTAGGGGGAATATCTTTCAGGGTCTCTATTGAAAATTTTATGTAGACAAGGATGATTAGATATGGAAAAACAGCTTTATTTTTTTTAAATGATTAAGTCTCTATATCTATGGAGAAAGGACTTCAACCAATCAAAACTTGAACTGTTATTTTTAAAGACGTCAACATTTCTCCCTTGTTTGCCAAGACCACTTCCATAATATCTGACCCATCAAATGGAAATCCCCAATCCGATGAGGCTATCAGTATCAGATATTCCACAATAACCTATTTTCAATGTGGGTTAGGGCAGTTTGTCTGTCATGTAACTGGTTTGGCCTACTCTTCAGTTTATTATGAAGTGTTTTTCTTGCTATACCGAAATCTGTGCACTTTTCTATGACACTATCCATTCTTGATCATCTCCATGGCCTTCTTGTCTTCATGACATGTGCCATATTTTCTTGTCCCTGGATTTTGTTTATAAGTGTGGCATTTTTTTTTCTGAAGATAGAGAGTTAGAGTCAAATGAAATTTTCATATTAAATATCTTCATTCAATTAAAAATCTTAACTGGATATTATAAATCATTCAACCACAAATGTTGGATTAGGATCATGTCTTCTGTCTTAAAGCTTGTACCTAAAATAACCATTTGCTTACTATAATTGTCTCCCTACAACAACAAGGCTTTTGTTAAAACTCATTAAAAATATTAGCATTTTTGACAATTTTAAAAATATTATTTTATTAGTGTACAAGTACTACATCTTTAGTTTTTCAACTTTTGCAGGTATGTCTGCTGGTGATAAAATTATCATTCAGTTTGAGCGTCCTTTTTGGTCTCCAGACTATGGGGTGTTTGTCCGAGCTGTCAACAGAGATTCAGATAGGGGCAACCTCCAAACCTGGGTAAACATCAATAGAATTGTGGGTGTGCCAGCTCTCGGGGGCTTCCTCACTGGTGACCCAGCTGTGAAATTTGAAAAGATGACAAATGAAGATGCAGAAGAACTAGGTAAGCAGACATATTTTATCATCAATGTGAGAAATTTTTTTAGCATGTACTTGTTATTTTGAGTAGCTACCTAACACCTACATTTATATTTCATAACCTTTCTTACAAATTTGTATCTAATTATTTCTATTATTATGTATTTTATATACTTGACTTCATGAAGATAAGCTTACAATTTTTAAATAGGCACTAAATTAGCCTGGTAAAACTTTGTTGAATTACTAAAGGATAGATAATTGCACTTAGTGGAGCACTAGTATTACCGTATATTCTCGCATATAAGCCGAATTTAGAACTATAAAATACAATACTGAAATCAGGGGTTGGCTTATATGCGCATAAAACAAAATGGACACAAGGACAGACACAATTTTCCAGCCACACATTTTCATCTCTATCTGACTCTTTGATTGTGGGTACAGAGTACTAATATATATATACAGAGGTGTCACTTCAAATTCAAAGAATTTAATGTATGCATAGCTAATAATTATACTGAGTATGAATATTACCATGGAGAATTCATTTTCGAAGTAAAAAATGGCATAAAATTAAGACAAAATACAAAAAAAAACAGAAAATGTTTCGTATATCAATGGTTTCCTAACTAATACTCTATACGCAAATGCATAGAATAAAATGACAGTGAGTGACACGACCGCGTGGTTTTAATTAAAAAAAACAACAAAATATTTTATTTGCTTTACAGTGATTACAGTTTTAAATGAGATGTTTGGTGAGGAAGTTGTCAAACAAGGTGGCAAAATCGTAAAGTTTCAGAGATCTCAATGGGTAACTGATGAATGGTCCAAAGGTGCTAGCACATACCCTAAAGTTGGTATGTTCACATTTTGCTTTTTGAATATATTCTGTAACCTTTCTTATTTAAAATTAAAACTTTAATAAATGAGGGATGATTTGTATATCATCACATATCAGTTACAGATCTTAACAATGGAACAGTAAAATTTGTTACCTCTATCTAGTTAATGATCAGTTTAATACTCAAAAGTGTTTGCTTGAGAAATGGTGTCACTTTTAGTAATAATGATAATATGCTGGACAACATCAAGAAATAAGAGAATTTCATCTCTTAAAGTTATTTAAAATTAAAATAAAATAACTTTTCCAAAGGCAAATAGTTGGGGGAAAAAACAAAAACAAATTTCTTTAAAAAAAAATTTATTGAATCACAAATTTGGTTGATTCCTATTTAGATAAATGTGATATATCACTTTTTAAGAAATTGTTAAAAAACTTAAAAAAAGATCGTCTTTATTTGCATGTCTGGTGACATTTTTAGTTTTTAGATTTCCATTTTTTTCCACTGCATTTTTTAAGGCAATTTATAATGAAAAATGTTTCTTTTTCAGGAAATGACCCAAGTCTCTGGGATACATTTTCACAACCCCTATGCCCTTATATCTACTTTGCTGGTGAGCATACACAGTTTGACAGCCATGGGTCCCTGCATGGTGCCTACAACTCTGGTATCCGGGCTGGAGATCAAATCCTGACTGGTCTTTGTGAATTGTTAAGAAAGGAGGAAATACAACGCAAAAAGGAAGAGAGACGTAAGAAGGAAGAGGCCAAGAAAAAAAAAGAGGGAGACAAGGCAGACAAAAAGGAAGGAAAAAAATCAAAAGAGGATGAAATTAAAGACGATGAAGTTGACGATGATGACTATACAGATGATGATGATGATGCGTATGAAAATGAAATTAGGTTGGATAAAGAAAAGAGAGATGAAGACAAAACAGATAATGATAAAAAGAAGAAGAAAAAGAAAGATGAGTTATAGAGATATGGGGGTAATTGATCCAACATGGCTGTTATTATTGGCTTTTTTAAAAGCTTTTTGTTGCACAGTGGCTCCACAAATTGTAACTGGTTGTAACTGTTATTGGATTTCACATGCTCATTTCATGGACACAAACATTTGATTGTTTATATACAAATTACATTCCAATAAATTTATGTACCAGTACCAGTACATAGATAAATATAATTTCTTATGCATGTATAGTTCATCAATTTTTGATAACATGTTTTAGATTTTGGAGCTGTTCTTTGACATTAAAGGTGTGGTGGATGGGACTCACCTTGGACAGCAACTCATCTAAGAGAAGGCAAACTCTGAATATAAACCAGGAGCCTGAATGATCAATGAATTGATTGTGGGCTCTCAAAATATAGAAGAAGAAGGTGCAAATTGACATTACTTCATTTGACTTAATCAGTATTGCTATAATTTTTAATGTTAAAAATATGTACAGATTTATATACACAATCAATGTATGTATGTATGTGTTTAGCATTTACACCAAAGTCTAGTTTGGAGCAATTATTGCCTTTTTGGGAAATGGTACTAGCAGTTTTATTTTTTCAATATTAATTAATCAGGACAAATCAGCTTAGATGAATTACCAAATTTCCCATCTAATTGTAAATAAATTATTTATTAATGTCAAGTAAATTTTCCTTATAATTGAGACGTGTTGTGACTAGTTTAATTTTAAATGTGACATAGTTTCACTCGATATTGTATAAGAACTGTGTTTCAAAGATTTGTGTAATGAAAGGCTTTCAGGATACGTGGATGAAAATATTGTCATACTTCAATATCTTTGTGTTGGGATTAGTGTATATATGTTTTAAATGCTCTTGTATAAATATTATTCTACTATTACAAATTTTATAACAAACTTTTTGTGTTTATTTATTGGTGAAAATACATTTTTAAAGCGATGATATCATATTCAAATTGTTGGTCAGAGTAAACTTTTCAGTCTCAGAATTGCACTCGGTGATATGGTTAATGTGAGAAATGAATACTAAAGAGAAGAAAAATAAAGGTAACAACAAGTGGCCATCCAATTAAAATATGCATGCAAAAAAGGTCATATCTTTATAACTCTCTCCCCTTGTTGCACCCACACATTTTTGGACCCATTCACCCTACACATACAAACATGAGCTTCTTACAACCCCAATCAATTTCAATTTTTTTATAGACAATTATAACATACAATTAAAAGACTATTTCACAAAATCACAATAAACCGTGTTAAAAAAATTATGTTGCGGTCTTCTCCCGTCCAAGGAGAAAACCATATATATATGAGAAGAATCCATAAGGATTTTTAGGAAAACTAAGTTTATATCTCCAATCATTAAAAATTTTCTATAAATAACAATAGATACATTGCTTAAGCAATCTGCCAAAAAGCATGAGACAATATAATAATTTAAAGACAATCACAACACTTCCAAAATTAATACTTCCAGTCACTTATTTATTTAAAAATTGGGTTAACTTAAATTTATTTGGTTGAATCAAAAATGGTGAGTGATGTGGGTTGGATTGATGTAGGCCATACTCATCTCTTTTTAAATACTTTATACTAACTTTGCTTTTGTTTGTGGGTGACTGGGTTGCTGACAGTCAAAATTTTCAGATGGCTAATCGACTCACTTCCCATCCACCATTTAAGTTGAAACTTAGCACACATAGACTCAGAGGCGTAGTGAGGGGGGTGCAGGGGGGGACAGATGTCCCCGGGCGCCAGGTAGTTAGGGGCCCCAAAATGTGCTTTGATATTATTTTATTGATGAAAATAATGGGTTTGAGAGTTGAAAAAACAAAAGGGGGGCGCTTAAAAATGGATCTTGTCCCTGGCGCCAAACACCCTCGCTACGCCGCTGCATAGACTCGTTGCCAATGACAACACAATCTTTCAATTTTTCATCCCCAACGCCAAAAAATCTGTTTTTCAAGGTGAAGATAAAATGAAATTCCTGATAACTGCGCTACACGGGATTCTTTTAAAAAATACCTCATGTGCGTTTTATGCATAATATTGTCTTTTGTTTTTCTGAAATAGTTGGTGAAATTAATCTGTGTTGTAAAAGCGGGTGAGAATTATTATAATAATATAGTTCAGTGGCTTGAAAAAATGTGCTGTTTTGAGCAGGGGGTATGACTACTTGTATGCATGCATGTTTTGTCAAAAAATTTTTAGTTAGCCCCCCCCCCTTGCCTCGATATTACATTTTATAAAGGATTTAGGCTTGGACACAAAAAAACTTTGTTTTTAGGATTTAATTTAGGCTTAGGGTTGTAAGTTATTTTGAGTAGGGGGTATGACTACTTGTATGCATGCATGTTTTGTCAAAAAATTTTTAGTTAGCCCCCCCCCCCTTGCCTCGATATTACATTTTATAAAGGATTTAGGCTTGGACACAAAAAAACTTTGTTTTTAGGATTTAATTTAGGCTTAGGGTTGTAAGTTGTTTTATTCCACAATGGAATAAAATATATTATATATTTTATTGCATGGGGAATGCCCATTAAAAAAGTATATTTTTAAAATTATAAAGATAAAGAGTATATTAATATTTCCTAAAGATATTTAATATTTTAAAAAGTACAATCAAGGAGGAAAAAAAAACATGTTCGCTATCCTTAAATATACTGTAGTCACTATAGAAAACTTTGCTTTAACTTTAAAAACACTACAATGATTTGGCATAACCGATCGATCATGATCGTTCCGTTATTGAATGCCGTTATATTTACATTTGACATCAGTAATGCATTATTATTACATCAGTAATTTCCCTTTATTACGTCTTTGGACCCACTAGTTTTCAAGATGGCGTCTAAATATTTTGAGGTTTAAAATTTGGCACGTCAGTTATTGCATTTACCGTAAGTTAGAAGTTAGAGACGGTAGGTTTTAAAACTGTACGACATTTATTATATTTCTAACTGCCTAAAATTTGGCTGAGCTACGATCGGCAGTTGACTGCAGTACATCTTTTCAAAGTTATTTTTTAACATGCAGTTCAAGCAGTCATCCAAGATCAGGATCTCCCGGCACATATCATTTTAAACCTAATGAAATAAATATATAAGCCTAATAATAACCATGGTTTTGGATTCATCAAATTATAAAATGAAATCAACAAACTATTATAAGTATGAAACATTAAACAAACAAATAACTTTTCTCTTAAATTTTAAAAGGCTAAGTCAATTAGTTTGGTAAGTAGTTTTAATAATTTAATCATTATCATTATAAAATACTCATTAATATAAATATTATTATTAAATCTTAACATATTATTATATTAACTTATATTATATATTAATATTGTCATTCACTCATTACTTTTTTTTTTTACTACACACCTTGTAGGCCTACCTAATTTAATAGAACCATTGACATTGAATGAGCCCTGCTGCTGCTAAGGGACCCAAAGTTGTGATGTAGAAAAAATTTAAACAATCAAATTTTAATAATGCTGTGTGAAGTGTGTGAGTGTGAAAAGTGACTTTTTGCTTACCTAATAGTAATAATAAAAGTTTAAATTTCCAAAACATAGCCTATTATTATTTTTAAAATTAAGTATTTGAAATATTAATGACTAATACATTTGACTAAAATTTACAGTTTCAAAATCTCTTATATTTACGCTTCTGGTGTGACTCGTGGACTGCTTCCTAGTCATCGAATTTTGTATTGAGAGTATATTACAAATAATTCTAAATGTTTGAATAATGAGTTCAATAATAGCACACAAAATATAATTCCTGATGACTACGCTAAATGATTTATATTTTTGTATATAACGCATTTGGCGCATAATATTTTCTTTTTGGAAAATGAAATTGTCTCAATTTAATTAAGTATGGTGTAAAAATATTCGAAAAGTGGTTGGGACATCAGTTCATGGGCGTGAAATAAAAAGTGTGCAGTGATGTATGATGGTGGAAGGAGTGTAGCAAAAATTGGGATTCTTAAATGTGCATTACTTGACTTGATGTTTTGTTAAGTAACTTTTGTAGATGGGAATTTCACGCATCGCTGTCGCCAATGTTTGGCGGGCTATGTCTAGTAAATTAATATTAAGTTTAAAATCATCTCGCTTGGACTTCAGGGGCACCTAATAATAAATTTATGTACCAATATAGAAAAAGTTGGCATGAATTTGTGACAATCCTTTTACATAGGTGTCTAACTTTTGTCACAAGTTTTTTTACTATGGGGGGAGGGGGTAAAATATTGGCCAAAAAAAGCATGACATCATTCACAAGATTATTACAAAAAAATTTTTTTTCTGTAAGGTATTTTAAAGCCATAACCAAGATATGGATATTGAAAATGTATCAGCCTGCGACACTTCAAGCAATCAAGAGAGGGAATCATATTTACAGAATGAAACAGGAGGTCTGAAACCAAAATTAGCTCTATCAGACATGCAGGACTCAGAGTTTAAAGTTCACACTGAACTGAGCAATGATGTGGCAAGGGAGGAAGAAGTTCATGTCATTTATCTAAATATGCAAGATGGTGATGGACCTCAGGTCCTTGACCTTAGCAACTTACTAGTGCATGAAGGAATACAGGTAATTTTATGAATGATTGTTAAAACATGTGCTATCTGGTGTATTTTTTATATTCTCAGTCTTAATCTTAGTTCCTCTACCACTGTAATAATAATAATAAAGTTTATTTCAAAACCACGCTTCATTCCCAAAGGCTCCAAGCGGGGTACAAAGTAATATAATTTACCACATTTAAAACAAACGCAACACTACAAAAACTAATTACAAGCATTCCTGTAGTGCATGAACTAAGTATTAATTTCAACCTTTTTCCATGTGACACAATATATTTTCACCCTTTTCCTCTTTGCCCTCTTTGCTCCTAGTATTACATAGGCATTCACTAATTCTTTCCATTTATCTCTGTTCAAAGCTATTTGCTCCAGCTCATTCCACTTTTTCTTTGTGTGTTCCAAGGTCTTCATCTCTTTTAATTACCCTGTGGATTCCAATAGTGTTTAGAATTTTATTTATTCCTTGGTGACCTCAACTCATTTTCCCAGCTTCCCACAGTGTTCTTACATTCCAAGTGCCAATCCTGTTGCATCTTTCTTGAGAATGACAACCTTAATGCTGATTGTAGATGATTCTGTAGCAATTGATTTTTACATAAATTTGTTGCTAACCCAATGCGAAACCTACTAAAATATGCCTTTTCAAACTTTGCAGCAGGGTGGCCCATGGGTAAATTCTACTCCTGATCAATTTTAACTTTATAAAGAATAATTATTTGTTATATTTGATGAAGATTGTAGATTTGTAAAGTAATGTGTTTATAAGTTGGAAATTGGAAAAAAAAAAAAATTTAAATTCCAAAATTATTTTTTAAAAGGAACATTGCAAAAGATGAAATCTTAGCCTGTTACACAGCATTTAATTTTTGTTCAGTGGTATCTTGTTTCAAATCTTTATATGACTTAAGAATTTGATTACAGTCATTTTCTATGAATTTGTGCAATTCTATCTTTATACTTATTATTGTTTAGATGATTGAACCCTCCTCCACTACAGACCAACTTTGTGTTGACCAGGAAATGATAGTGTGTCAGAACATTGTCATTGAAAACAACTGTGGTAATGAAATCACTATGGTAACTAGCCAGTCTGAGGCTCAGTCTGCTCATGCCTTGCTACATCTATCAAAAATACAAGGTGAAGTGGACACTGTGCAGGTGTCAGATATCTTAGCTGCACATCGCCAGTCTGAGGAAGATCAGGTTTCTTTAAAAAAAATTTTTTTATTGCATTTTCTGTATCTATAAGTTATCAAAAGAATAAATCACAAAGTGATTACTAAATCCATCATGCTATTATAATGATTCATAATAATTTTTTTGTATAAAATATGTCTTGCTTTGATTTTAACTTTGATAATTTAATTCTGGCTATTTAATTTTTTTTTTGTATTGTACAAAACTAAGTCATGCTATCTTTTGTACCTCACTGATTACAAACACACACATGGGATTACGCTTTTAGTATTTTATGTAGGTTATTCACAAACGTCCTTGGTAATCATGGTCTCATCATGACTGCTTTAGCATTTTTATTTAAAAAGAAAAGCATAAGATGTTTAAAAACTTTTCATCAGTTGTGTTTATTTATCTATTGTTATTTACACATACAAAATCTTTATAAAACTCAATTTTTTGTTCAGAATGCTGTTTCTGCTGAAGCCTTGTTGCAGCTGTCATCAGAGCAAAGTTCTGGAACATATATTGTAGATGACAATGGAGCTATGATTCCCATTAGTCAAGTCGGGTATGTACCTTTGCAGGGGGTATGCAGGGGATTCTGGTTATTTCAAAACTGCTCCAAGACTGATTAACCAACACCCATGTAAACCAAACATTTTTATCACTTGGGAGTTTCAAATGAGTGGCATCAATAATAGTATTTTTTTTGTCTTCATACTAACATGGTCTTTTAAATTTAAAATATCCACTCTTTTGACAATAATAAATGAAATGCAGTCATTTTTACAATATTTATTTTCAAGCTCCTCTACCTTACTAGAGGTTGACGACACAGGGGTTTCATCTCTTGCCATTTGCGTTTGTTGGTGTGGAAGGGAGTTTATATCACAGGAAGATCTTGACAGACACAAAATGGCCCATAAATACCAGAACAGTCAAACCAGGTAGAGAAGCTCATTCATCTAAAAATAAATATTTTCTTTCTATTTTTTACCCACTGACTGCATTTCATATGTATTTTATAAATCTCTCATTTGTTGATTGATAGATTGGGGGTAACAAAAAAACCCATACATTTATTATCTTTCCTGTGTTTAAAATTCTTAATTATTTCAAAATTAACATTGCAGAATACATTTTAAAGGAAAGGCTCAACACAAACTTAACCATTTATGTCAAATTTTAAAAAATAAAATGTTTTCAAATAGCAATTGTATTTTTCTTACTATAGAGAAGTTAGTGGCATACAGAAATGTGTTTTGTGTTTGGAAAGCTTTGCAACCCCTAGAGACCTGAGGCTCCACCACTCTGAACTCCACCCAGAGGGAACACCTTGGGAGTGCAGTGTTTGTCATCGCAAGTTCTTGAAGAAAGTTGCACTGAAAGCTCACATGAGGGTTCATAATACAATTACAAAATACCAGTGTACCTCGTGCAAAAAGTGAGTACATTGTTCAGTGATCATCAAATGTATAGTATTAAAAATATGTTGTAACAGATTGAAAGATACAAATTTTGTAATAAGATAACTGATATCAATGATAAGAAACCTTCCAGGATAGGACCTTAGGTAGTTGTAGTCTGAGCATTTTCTCTCCCAAGCATTTTGTACTTATATTAACTAATGACTGGCTGTTGTCTTACCTGATACAATTAATGGCCCATAAATGCCATAACAATTAATCATTAATGTGAATATTAGTTGTTTTTTTAAATAGTCTCAACAAAGATAAGCCTATTTTTAATAAAGTGTATAATCTTTGAATATCTTCCACAGAGTATTTTTCTATAAGACAGCACTTAATCGTCATTTGAGGATGCACACGTGTGAAAAACCCTTCAAATGTACCATTTGTGGAGATACTTATCAGTCTCTTTGGGACTTAAGAAAACACAGGTAAATAAATAATTTAAAAAACCAAAATATGTTTAAAAAATAATGCTTTAAAGATTAAAAAAAAAAATAAAAAAAATAAAAGTATCTAACACATATTTATTTTTAACATTTTTTTTCTTATTTCACCAATAGATTACAGTAAAAATATCAGTTAATTATCTTTTGCTTTTAAACTGACTGTTGTTTATGCAGCAACTATATGTTATTGTTTCTTTCGTGTTGTTATTATGCTTCAAGCTCATTTCATTAGTTTAGTTAAAATGTTTACAGCATTAACTTAAGTATTTTGTGTTTGTTTAGGATGAACCATCAGCCAACAAAACTATATCCCTGTGACATTTGCACTAAAGTATTCAAACAAAAGCAGACCCTATTTGTCCATTCTCGTATACATACTGGACACAGACCTTATTCCTGTGATGTATGCTGTAGAACATTTTCATTGAAAAGTAAGCGGCATATTCAAATAATATTGTCCACTTCTTATGTTAGGCATTCTATAATTTTGCATGTAGATTTGAGGTTTTTATTTCAGTACTCTATTTTGGAATTAAGCAGAATTAAAATTTTTGTGTAATTTTGTGTATGAGTTTATTGAAAGGTTTTTTGAACTTTTTAACTGTATTGGAAAATTAGCAACTTCTCTAAACAAAATATAAAAAATTATAAATTTTGAAGAAGACTTAGTTAAATATGTCTTTTAAAAAGCTTTGAAGCTCAAAAAGTTAATTTATCTGTTTATTATACAATATTTCAAGCCACATTAGTTCAGCACCGCCGCATTCACACAGGAGAGAAGCCAAACGTATGTAAAATGTGTCACAGAGCTTTTCGTCAGAACAGCACCTTAAAGGCTCACATGAGGACTCACACCAACCAGAAGCCTTACATTTGCCGCTACTGCAAGATGAGATTTGCCTACAAGGATGAGGTCCAAGAACATGAGCACTTACACGCCCAGAACAAAAACTGGCAGTGCGACAAGTGCGGCATGTGGTAAGATTATCCTGCTAACCAAGGTATCATAATCTAATTTGTCAGTTAAAATTGAGATTTTTACAAGACCTAACCAGCTTACAAAAACTAATAAAGGGAAATTTATCCTATTTTTTTCATTACATTAATATTTACTTTTCGAGTAAAAAAAAAAAAAAAAAAAACACACCACCAAAGAAAAAAAAAAAAAAAAAAAAATTTTAAAAGAACTAACCAACTTAAAAAAACTAATAAAGGGAAATTTATCCTATTTTTTTTATTACATTAATATTTTATTTTCGAGTAAAAAAAAAAAAAAAAAACTCGACGACCAATGAACTACTAAATTAAAATAAATACTGAAAGTTATAAAATTAATTTTTGTGCCAGTGGCTTGTAAAATATTTTTTTTAAATGACTGCAGCTCATGGCTTCAAATTACAAGGTCCTAAATGAGATGACGCTTTCTTATCAATTATATTTTTTCAAAATCTTAATAATTATTTTAACTTAACATTGCCTACAGATGGCTTATTATAAAGTCTTAAATGAAGCTACTAGTAAGAGATATCAAAGTATTGATTTAATCTACTTAAACATTTATCCCTGTATGATTCATAAATGTTTCATAAGTATATTGACAGATTTGTTAGTAATTTACTTTTGTATCATGTAGGTTCAAGAATCAGTCACTGCTTTCACGTCACAGTCGAGTTCACACCAATGAACGCCCATTCCAGTGCTCCACCTGTCACAAAACATTTGTGCAATCTGGATCACTTCAGGCCCACATGCGATCTCATACAAAAGAAAAACCATATCAGTGTCGAATGTGCTCAAAGGTGATCTTTTTCTAATATTGTCTGTATCAGTGGTTTATCACTTAGTCAGTAATTTAGTTCTGAGCTTTAGATGGGTGCTGGCGAACATTAAGCTAACTATGGTTTGTGGGTGCTGGCAGGTACTGGGATTAGAAATAGCCATTATTGGGTTGAAATCTGAATAACACTCCTTGATCAACAGCAAGCTTAGTATAAAAAAAGAAAATACGCAAACAATATAAACCAATTAAAAGGTAGATTTATCGCAATTGAGACTAACATGGTTTTTGCTAAATCAGAAGTTTAAATGTATAGTTGTATTTTTTTTTTAAAAAGTTAAAGTTTGTTTACACAATTTAACTCCAATATTAAGGGGTATATCTTATGAGCTATGAAAATATTTGAAGAGTGCAGGGTAGCAGGTTTTATATCCGCATATTTTTATGTGTAACTTATGATTATAGTACGGCTTAAAGTTTAGTTTTCTTAAATGTATTTTTTTTTTCTATAGTCATACTACACTAGTGGGACACTTCTCATACACATCCGCAAGGCCCACAATGTTGATGCCAAGTCAGTGAGGGAAGTTTTCCCTGTAATAAAGTATGTGGAGGACCAAAAAGTGTTCACCATTCGCAACAAGCTCCTGGTCAATAATGAAACCGTTATATCAGGTTTGGACCAGGACGTGGACAAGATGGACAATGAAGCCACTGTTGGTGAGATTCTGTGTAAAGAAAATATTGTTGTGGAAGAGCTTGTGGAGACCTCGAGTGAAGTTTTAGTGCAAGACGATCAAAATCTGCCAGATAGGACTGTCTCAGGAGATACCACTAAACCTGTCACTGTGGATTCTATACAAGAAGATCCTGGTGGCTATGAGCTTCATGAGGTGGATGAGATTGAATGTGTTGATGAAACAGTCGTAAGCACAGTTGTTGATGTTGATCCAGCGAACAGTCCAGAGAAAAGTCTAGGAAAACGCGGGAAGAGAAATACTAAAAAGATGAAAGATAATGAATTAACTGATGACCTCGAAACGAAGGAGGACGTCAAAATTAAAGTCGACCAAGAAACTTTCCATTTCTCGCATGCAGCCCAGGATAGGCAAGAAGCAGCACTAGGTCTTGCAGAACTGTCTCTAATTGGTGGTGAGGGAGCAGTAGTTGAGAAGCCAGCCAAAACCAGGACATTCTTCAAAGAGGAAGAAGAGGATGAGAATGACCCCAATGTGACAAAAATTATTCTGTCTAAAGAGGGAGGTATCATGAACAGTCAAGATCCACATCAATGTACAGTCTGTGGCAGGTATATGTTCATTTCCTATGTAACTTGAAGAAATTTAATTTTGTGAACTTCCAATTTATTTCTCCATATTGGGCTCATATCTGATATTATGGGGGCTGCAATGGCACATCACGGAAAAGAAAGAAGTTAAGTTTCTATAGCTGACATGGAATTATGATATAAATAGGTGCCTGTCTTTCTACATTAATAAAATCTTCTTGATAAATGTATTTGTTCACTGCAAATGAATGGTTGAAAAGGATTCTGATATGATTTTTATTTTATTTTTAGAAGTGCATTCACATTAGGTATTATATGTGCTTGTTTTCCACAGGATATTTGGCAGAAAGAGTATTATGGTTGAGCATCTGCGCATCCACACAGATGAGAAACCATATGTATGTGACTTTTGTAATGCTGGTTTCAGACAGAATGCTCAGCTACGTAGCCACATACGTAATAAACACACCAAGGTATTGTAGGTTGTTTCAAAATTTAAGAAATAATGGTTGACACTTTTATCCAAAGAGCACTTCTAGTAAATAATCCTTACACCCACAAATCCTTTAGTCCAAGAAAGGTCTGATGAGGTCATCAAATGTGAATATTAAAAACGTTGAAATGGAATACATTGTTTGTGAATTTATGCAGTATAATTTTATTTACCAAAGTTTTAAAAAATGACAAACATTCTGTGACCCCCACTGGTTCCTTTCGGAAACACTTGAGATTGAAGCATATTTCATGATTATTATATACCGGTACGGTACTAAAATTTGCTTTAAGGCTTCTTTAATCTACCATTGTGTCTTTACACATCGGTACTTTCAAAGGCCTGTCACAAGATTTAGAAATAGTCATTATTATTAAGTAGATTTCATCAATTTTATTTGTTTGGAGGGTGCTCATTGCCAAAGCAACCATCTTTTCGATTGTGTTAACACTTACATTATAATACTTGGATGTGTTAACACTTACATTATAATACTTGGATGTGTTAACACTTACATTAAAATACCTGTGAAAGTCTAATTAAAAAATAGTTCTTAAAAAGTTTAATCAGGAAATAGCAAAGAAACAACCATAATATTGGAAAGTACTGCAAAAGAGTTTAAAGATTTAAAACATTTTTTTAGCCCATACTGACTTTCATGAAGTATTAAATACTTTTTTATCAGGTGGAGAGGTATCAGTGCTCATTTTGCCATAAAAGGTTTCTGTCTCGAAGCATCACTGTAAGGCATATCAATTTCCATCACAAACTCAAGGTAAGGTTATTGTCTGGCGTACACCTGGTGGAATGGCTGTTTGGTGTACACCTGGTGGAATGGCTGTCTGGTGTACACCTGGTGGAATGGCTGTCTGGTGTACAACTGGTGGAATGGCTGTCTCGTGTACACCTGGTGGAATGGCTGTCTGGTGTACAACTGGTGGAATGGCTGTCTGGTGTACACCTGGTGGAATGGCTGTCTGGTGTACACCTGGTGGAATGGCTGTTTGGTGTACACCTGGTGGAATGGCTGTCTGGTGTACACCTGGTGGAATGGCTGTCTCGTGTACACCTGGTGGAATGGCTGTCTGGTGTACACCTGGTGGAATGGCTGTCTGGTGTACACTTAGTGGAATGGCTGTGTTACCCATAACCATAATAGTGTTACACTATCAAATTCTGTTCTATTTGAATACATGAATAGTTAATGAAAACAATATTAGGCACCCAACAGAATATTTACTGCAGCTGTGCTTTAGGATACTGTTTTTAAATAACCAAAAATTATTTATTTTTAAGACAACTTTGGAGTCAATTCTCATTTTACACCAAAGAAGCTGTTTTGCATTTTGTATTTGGAATAATTATGTAAAATTATGTAATTATGAGAAAGATATATATACAATAATTTTGATACCTACATAACTTTAGTTTTCCAAATACTTTTCCTAAGGTGCAGTCTTTGGTTTTTCTAATTTTTTCATAGCTTCCAATCCTTTGCTGCACTAATAATTTGTACACCTTCCAAAAAAATAGTTTTCTTACCAACCTGTTTTTGCTTTCATGACTTTCGTACCTTTTACACTTGTCCTGGACAGTTTTTGGAGTCATGGTCTTGTCACATTAATTTAAAAAGATAAATAAAACAAATGAATCTTTTAAGTCACATATGTTCTTTTTGTCTGTGTCTTCACAATGTCAGGTCAAGTTTTGTGGAAGTGTTGATAGAGCCTGGAACATCAACAATGCAGTTTGGTCAGATGACAACTTTGAATTTAATGCCTCAGAGACTCTTTTTGTGAAGCCCACCAAGCAGTCGGCAGAGAAAATGGTCAAGGAGGAGATATCAGAATCCTGTTTGCCCGAAGGTGGGACTCCAGCTGAGGAATCCGGTAAAGAAAAACTAACCCAGATCTCCACCATCCGGCAGGCTGAAGAAATGCAAGTGAAAAGAAATGCTGGCCAAGAGACAGAGGGGAAAAGTTTGGGTTCTGCATCATGGAAAAAAGGGAAAAATGGTCCGCCGAGTAAGACAAGAAAAGTTTCAGGTAAATCAGGGGTGAACGATGAGAAAAGAAGCAGTCCTTCAATAGATGAGATGAATTCTGACAGTCAGTCAAACTCTGATGAGTCCAAGTTAATTTGTGGCACATGTGCCATGCAGTTTAGTGGCATTTCCAGTTTGAGATGCCATCTAAAAAAAGTGCACAACACCACTCTGGATAAATCAAATCTATCGGTTTTCTACGAGACTGAAAACACGTCTGGAGAACTGAAGGTTGATCCTGAGATAATGACCCAAGCCGGGAATTCGAACATGTCAGAGGGCTCTGATCCTGAAGAAGCCACCGAAAGCTCGCAGGCTAAATGTGCCACTGTAAAGATCATTGGTTATGACAGTAGGCAACTCTGTGCTGATGATCCCCAGCTTATGCCGTATTCATGTCTTATGTGCACCATGCGCTACATCAGCAAGTCGGAGCTCCACAATCACATGAAGACCCACGCCGATGAGGATGTGGAGCGTGTGGGCATGCACAGGTGTGACGTTTGCCTGTACGTCATGAAGAACACCCAGCAGGTCACCAAACACATCCTTAAGTTTCACGGGGTCCCGCAGATCTTCATCTGTTCCATCTGCCACCGAGAGTTCTTCCAGCTTAGCTCTGTGCACAGGCACATGAGGTTCTTCCACAAGTGGGAGATTAAAATCCGCGGGGAGTCCAGCATCCCTGTGCTGGTCAAGCCCGCCCCTTTATCTATACAGAAGCCAGGCTGTTCACCAAAGATACAGTTGAAACAGAGTGCATCTGATCAGATCAACCAGCGGCAGGGCAGACTGAACAGCAGTGATGAGGATGAGAGCATTACTTGTATAAGTTTAGAAGGTAGTGATATGGAATCCGTTCAGATTTTTCAGGCAGGGGGACAGAAAATCCTGTATCAAGTGCTTGACTCAGGCTCATCTGAACAGCTGAGATATGTGGTGATAAATGACGATCAATGTGACCATTCAAATGCAGCTGTAGAGGTTGACATCGGAGACAAAGGAAAGAATACCTTGTTTGGTGATAATATTTTTTCTTTAAATCCTAGTGAGAGTACACATCCTATTACCTTAAAGAAGGGCTCAAGTCACCCATGTAAACCTGTTAATATAACAACTCAATCAGAGTCTAAGGTTTCTAGAATGACTCAGACCAGTTTAGCTGGCGAGAAGGTAGCTGGCAAGCAGGAAGACAATGGCCAAGCCACCTCACCCATTTTTATCACAGTGGAAAGAAGAGCCAAACCAAACCCTGAAAGCACTGAAGCTGAACTTGCAGCCCAACTTATCACTCAGTTCAAAAATAATACGGGAAACGATGCTCTTGTAAATAATGGAAACAGTTCAAAGGTTATTAAAATTCTTAATTTTAGACCCAATGAGCCAAAACCTGCCGTCGTCAGTGGTGGTAAGATTGATGCATCTTCAAAAGTGATCAAAGGCGACACTGTTGTCAACATTAGGGACAGCAAAACTCATAGGTTTGTTCAAGATAGGAAAGCCCCCACTAAAAATAACGAAATGAGGGGAGTCTCTACCAGTAAGGGCGGTCATCAACAACCCCAGTCAAATGTAAAGTGTAATTTTCCCAACGGCAAAGGTCCTATAGTGATGTCAGTACTTGATATAGGCAGAAAAGATGTTTCTAAGAAAGAAAAAGGTCACAGCTACTCATTGCTGAGTCTTCCTGCCACCCAAACTCACACTTCAAACATAACCGGTGGAAATACCACTAAACAGGATACAGGTTTGCCTGGGCTGCGGGAGATTAGCAGCTCTGTTAATGTGACAGCTGACAATTCTGCCAACGGGCCACTGCCATGTACAAAAGATAATGTTGCACCGAGTTCAAACGACAATCAGTGCAATGACGGCCAACTAATACACATCTATTTGTCAACAACCCCAAGTAACAGTAATGAAGTCAGTGGGATGTCTTGTACGGAAGAAATCCCAACAGGCAATGCAAACGGGGCATATCGAGCCGAAGCACATCTAAAAACAGAAAAAGATGATTTATGTGAGTACACTGCTCATATAACACAGGACAGTACAGCTGCAGAGAAAATCATGCAACAATCTGAGAACACAAGGGATTCTACACATATCACACGGGAAACGGCGGACAAAACAGACCAGGAGGAGGATTTTAAAACTATAATGTTAGCCACCAAATTAGGGGGAAAAGAATTCCTTGAGAAAACCGAAGATGACCTGGTGTCACCAGGATCAACCAAAGAATCAAAGAAATCTCACAGTGTTACCTATCAAGTGATGGCCAGGGAGAATAGTGGGTCGGACACTAGTGTCAAAATGTCTGGGAATCTGAAGGAGACAAATAAAGTACAGCAGTCTGGAAAACTAAGCCCATTGAAAAGAGGACCAGCAAAGAATGCCAATACACCAAGTAGAAGCTTTAGTCCTGTAAAGAGTCCCCACAACTCTAGTGTAAAAAAAGTTGAAACCAAGTCTTTAAATCAGTTTAATGCAAAAGATATTAAAAAAGCTCCTTCAAAAACAAATCCACCCACTGCAGTCTCACCCAAAGGAATCCAGAAGTCCTCTGGTTCTCTGTCAGCCATTCCAAGCCCCATCTCTCTCAATAAGAGCAGCGCTGGAGAGAAAACCATTAGCAAACTCTCTTTAGAATGTAGCCCACCGCCTAAAGTAGTTTCCACTCCAAAAAAGAGGCAAGTTTATGTGGCAGAGAAACCTGCCGAGAAACTCCAGGAGCCCGATGTGGTCCGTCGCAGCAGCAGTGGGCGTATCATTAAAAGGAAACAGTTTGATGATGAGATAACTGACGTGAACAGTGCCAAGAAGTCAAAAGGAAACAGTTTGATGATGAGATAACTGACGTGAACAGTGCCAAGAAGTCAAAAGGAAACAGTTTGATGATGAGATAACTGACGTGAACAGTGCCAAGAAGTCAAAAGGAAACAGTTTGATGATGAGATAACTGACGTGAACAGTGCCAAGAAGTCAAAAGGAAACAGTTTGATGATGAGATAACTGACGTGAACAGTGCCAAGAAGTCAAAAGGAAACAGTTTGATGATGAGATAACTGACGTGAACAGTGCCAAGAAGTCAAAAGGAAACAGTTTGATGATGAGATAACTGACGTGAACAGTGCCAAGAAGTCAAAAGGAAACAGTTTGATGATGAGATAACTGACGTGAACAGTGCCAAGAAGTCAAAAGGAAATTAAAGGGATCTTCATCTGTTGATGTGATATCATGTCTTTGCTGCAGATTGAGTTGTGGCCGCTACGTCTGGATATTGAGGACAGTACTGGTCGGGAGTGCCACACCACCCATTTGGCTCTATCAGTTTCAAAGATTTGTTGAGACAAATTGAAGTCACCCTGTGTGGGAACTGAGCTGGTCTTCCTTGCAGCAAAATGTTTGAATATCGAGTGAATGTTTGCCTACCCACTGTTTAGTACTTGTTATTACTTTTATGTTACAGGTATGTTGGTCTATACATATACTGGAACATTTACTTGTACTTGTACCATTAACTTCTGAGACATTTGAAACTGTTCACCATTGAATACTCAATACCTGACGAGAGCTTGGGACTTTAAAAAAGCATGTTCTTTGTACTTAATGCTTATACTATTTTAAGTTAGTATTAAATAACACCTTTATTATTATTATTAAAACCAGTGTAAGGCAGCTGTTTAAATATAATATATCTTTTTCTTTAAAAATACAATTTATCATTTTTAAGCCGTCAACTTTGAACGTTGTTAAAAAAACTTTGTTGACCATATACAAGGTGTTGCCAGCCGCTAGTAGACATTGATGGAACATGTTTACAGACATGCTGTAGAGGGATACCGTTTGCAATGTTTTACAATTAATATATTTATTGTGTTTATATTTAAGAACTTCACTAAAGTTTTACTTTGGCCCCAAGGAACAGCGTCCTCTTTATATAGTATTGATATTGCACCATATCAGCAGTGTTACCTACAAGTGGTAACCAGACCAAAAGACAAAACGACAAGGTGACAAAACGACAAGGTGACAAAACAAGCCAGTGGTCCGGAGTTCAATCCCACCAAAGCCATCGCAAGCACCCCAGGTGGATGGGACTCGTTAGCCTTGGACGGCAACCCATCTAAGAGAAGGCAAACTCTGAATTTAAACCAGGAGCCAGAATGATCAACAAATTGATTGTGGGCCCCTCAAATATAAGAAGAAGAAGGGGACAAAACAACAAGGTGACAAAATGACAAGGTGACAAGGCTTGTCGTTTTGTCATGGAACCCCTGCAACCAAACGCCAGTGATAATCTGTCCCTGTGGTGTTAACCATGGTTGGCAACCATCTTTTAATTTACAGACAGTTCATCAAAATTTGACCTAAAAAATGACTTGTCTGTAAAGTCTATAAAAAATTTAAAAAATATATATTTTGTTTTGAATCACAACAAAACCAAGATAATTCATTGTTGTTGAGATAAGATGCTGTTGTTTTGATCCAAATAAATGGAAATTTGTTTTGATTTCATTGCACATATTGTTTTCAGCTTTGAAAATCTTTGTCTGAGTTTTATTGTTTCCTAAAATGTCTCAAGCAAGGGGTTTGGTGAATCATTGTGTGATCCATTGTTAGGGGTCAATTCTTGAGATTTTCAGCTGAGTCAGGACTTTTTGTTTGAAAGGAATTCTCTTGTTGGTTTTTTTGTGGGTTTTTTTGTGTGAAGATAATCACAATAGTTCAACACTGTTGAGAATGCCATACAATTAACGTACAAAAGTACAATATAAAATAAACTAGTAAAGCCTCATGGTAATATAGCATAGAGTCATACAAACATAATCACTGAAACATGGTCAATGGACATGTGTCACAGATACATAAAAACATAGTCCTAGGATGTGTCAATATATTTGAATAGCCTCATAAATTAAACAAGTTTATTTTTAAAATGTTTCAGTACCGTAAACAAAAATTTTTTGTCCATAAAAATTGTGGCGATTCAGGATATTAAAAATGTGTTTGGCAACATTGCTTACCACCACCCCAACACACCACCCCAACACACCACCCACCAACACACCACCACCCCAACACACCACCACCCCAAACACACCACCACCCCAAACACACCACCACCCCAACACACCACCACCCCAACACACCACCAAGTTTTTTAAATAACTTAAATGGAAAAAAAGTAATGTGTGCTAAGAAAATAGACAGTCTGATTCTGGTAGAGGACGCTAAAGAAAGGTTACGGTAGCTAAATAAAGGTTACGGTAGCTTAAGAAAGGTTACAGTAGCTTAAGAAAGGTTACAGTAGCTTAAGAAAGGTTACGGTAGCTTAAGAAAGATATGAAGATGATCACAGCTTTACTTCACATTTTAATCAGTTTATTTCGGCACCGGTAATGTCATCAATGTATTATCTTGAACTGGAAGACATGATATCTTTACTCCGTGTTGAACTGAACCTCATTGTTTCGTCTATCAAGGGCCGCGTTGCTTGGTAGCAACCAGGGCAAGCTTCGAAAATCTGCCACTGGGACAAACACACATTTGAATATCCTGCAAGTCAACGTTTATGGGATATCCAATAAAAATGTATAGCCTCTACTTGTGCACCACAATACAGACCCTCTCATCAAAGACCCACACAACATAGACCTACACAACACAGACCCACACAATACAGACTCACACAACGCAGACCCACAGAATACAGACCCACATATCTCTTTACACGGACCCATTCTGAAGACACTTAACAAGATCAAATCAAACGAATTTTAAAACAATACGCTAGATTTTCAAAACAAAAAACTGGGATTTATATAAAGCAAGAAGTGATGAACTACTTAGTGACATTGCCCAAAAAACAAAAACACCACAAGAAAAAGTCGTCTAAAAACTAACCAAAGCCATACTAGACGCTGCCTCCCTGATAATCCCAAGAGGGTACAGGTTGAAAATTAAACCTTTCTCGGACAAAAATGTAAAAAACATTTAAAAAAAAATAGAGAGCATGCCAGAAAAACTTTAGAAAATAATGCAACTGGAAAAAAAATATGCTAAATCCGGCCATAGCGAAAACAGCTTTCAACATAGCCAATATAAATAAATGTGCACAGACAGCCGCAGAATAAGATCGACGCGAAGAAGGACCTCGGGAATGGTCCACTTTTTGAGTAGCCCCTATTGTGAAAGGTGGAAATCTAACAATCCCCACCTCAAAAAGTACTATGAAAACGAAAAATGGAGGAAGATCAAAAGAAAGAAATCTTAAACATTTGGCCTTAATCAACAAGGCAAATACATTTTTTTAAAAGACAAAGATAGTGACCGATCTCTAATAGATGACCCAACGGCCAAAGAGAGAATCCCACAGCATGGTAACTGACCAACGGTTCTAGCGTATCAGATTGCACCGGGACGACCGTAAGGGTGTTAGTTTATGAACATTTAGACGAAGGGAAAATTTTAGTACCTGAGAATAGATTAAAGCCCTGGGTGACTAGTCGTGGCTAGTTAATGTCCATTTCAACAGAAGGGGGCGGTAGGAATATTTTAAGTACCAGAGATGTAGGAATAAGATTAAGGCCCATGGAAGGAATCTCTAGGGACGCGGGACTTAAAAAAGGGGAACGTTAGACGGGACTAGAGTTGACCTCAGCTGGACAGGAAAGCGGACAGTCGGGGAGAGCTCCGACGGACAGGAGTAGAGGACAGTCGTGAGGACACAGTGGGCAGAGAGGCGAACCGAGGACAGTCAGAGTTGAATGCGAGAAGAGAGAAAGACAAATCGAAGTAGCAGATCAATAAAGAGCAAAGACTATAACCATCGCTGAGTTGTCTGATTGGTAAAATACGAGTGACAGTTGAAGCAAGGGTTACCATCCAAACAACGTATAAACAATTAAAGAAGAACAGAGACAAACCTAGATTTCTCTACCATGTTCAGATTCAAAATAATCGACGTGTCCCATTATGACCAGTGGGACCCAATATGACTGTGACGTGTGCCATTTGGACCAGTAAGACCCAATCTGACTAGGACGTGTCTTAGTATCTATCGCTTTCTGACACCACTGTATAGGTCATCATTAAGTGAGGAATGTTAATGATGTCATTAATTGATCTGTGTTAGTAATCTAACAATTTACGGGTCTTAGCATGCGTGCAAAGGTCAACCAGTTGTATAGCAATTGTGTACTTAAGAAATCGCATTAGGTAGTAAAATTCCACGCCATCATTTGCTTTCTTTCGAAATTCTTTTGACAACTTTCAATTTTAACAATTGGCCACCGCTTGTTGTGGGCACTTCCTTGACCACTTGTTGTGGGCACATCCTTGACCACCCATTGTGGGCATATCCTTGACCACCTATTGTGGGCACATCCTTGACACCTGTTGTGGGCATATCCTTGACCACCTGTTGTGGGCACATCCTTGACCACCTGTTGTGCGCACATCCTTGACCACCTGTTGTGGGCACATCCTTACCACCTGTTGTGAGCACATCCTTGGGTCAGAGATATGTTAATGATTAATCAATCGCCGTGTAGAAGAATGAGCTCAGATTTTAATCCTAATAAAATGTGCCCTGTCATTGACCTGATGTACACACAGCATGTTTTTGTTGACACTTTAGGAATCAAATTAATGATTTTTTAAAAAAATTAATTGCATTGCAAAATCCATGAGAGGGCAAATTCCTACTATTGATGACAGCGTCAATTGGCAAAGCATTCAAATTTAAATTAACACTGTCGCCTTGTGTCAACCCTGCAACCAATCGGAGGTCAGAACGCGTTTGTAAGTAAACTGCCTTAATCCAGTCCCTGATCTCTCGGTGGCATCTCCTGTCATAACGCTGTCACGCTGCACAGCTGACAC